TATATAAATAATGATTACCTTGATACAAATCTAAACTTTTGTTAAAAATATAAAGTATGTTTACTATGCCGATTTCAAATTTATAATAATCATTTTTAAGTTGTTACCCTATCCAATTTCACACAATTCACAGGATGCATTAAACTTAAATTTGGTCTTTATTTAGAAAAAAATCAAAATCTGGCCCTACAAAAAAGACAAAAATTAAAAAAAATAAATTGCCTCTTCTGGGGTTTGAACCCACACCCTATCAGAACTCTATGTCCATACTCTACAGATAGGATTCTGCAGTTTTGTTAAGAAAGGACCAACTTTACTTGACCCCGTAATAAAGTATGCGTTTGAATACATACAGTATCACAGTAGTTTATTCATTCCTCTATTTGAAAAGAGACATAATAATTTCATAGATTTTAATGAATGAATTTTGTTAAAATATTTTACTCAAGGATGAGCATAGTATCTTTAAGCTATTTCAGTTTATTAAGTGGTAGTTACACAAAATATAGAATATTAATTATGGAATTCTTATAATATTAAAGCATGATATGTACATTATACATATTTACTTTGTTATTGTGAATCCTTTGATTATATAATCAATGATTGATCGAAAAGGGTTGTTTCGATTATTTACGATGATCGATTATGATTTTTGTCCGATAAAGATAATATAATAAACAAGATCAACAAGGAAAGGTGGCGTTCATGATCCAGCAACAAGAGCCAATATAATTTTGGACCCCTAAAATTTAGGCCTGGACCCCTAGTTTTCTAGGCTATGCATCCACTGGACACCTAAAATATCAAAGAGATGTAAAACCCTGGTTACCTTTGACTTTCCACAACTGTTTTCCATAAAGTACAAAAGCACCGAAACCGTTTTGTGAAGGCATCGAGTGGAGAGCTCTTGGAAAATGTCACTTCATACTCACCCCACTTACCATACCCTTTGGCAGTGACACAATATTCCTCATTATGTATCTCTGCCATTGGGCACAACTCATTGGTAAAAAATGCCCCCCATGAAAACCTCTTCCATACCACTTAGACAGCCGATATTTTCTATACCCATTGGACAAATATTACTTTATGACCGCTTGGACAACACATCCATAAAAAATGACCCCCTTGGACAGACAATATTTTCCTGACCCTTGGACAATCATTAATACATGCACCCCCTTGGACAACATATCAATAAAAAGTGACCCCCTTGGACAAATTGTCTGAAATACCCCCCTTGGACATCTCTTCCATACCCCTTGGACAGATATTTTCCATACCCCTTGGACAATCATTTATACACGTGCCTTCAACAACTTATTAGTAAAAATGACCCCCTTGGACAAATTGTCTAAAATACCCCCTTGGACATCTCTTCCATACCCCTTGGACAGATAATATTTCCCATAACCCTTGGACAAGCATTTATACATGCGCCTTCGACAACTTATCAGTAAAAAATGACCCCCTTGGACAAATTGTCTAATTTAATACCCCCCTTGGACATCTCTTCCATACCCCTTGGACAAATAATATTTTCCATACAACCTGTCTTTTTCAAAACAATACCCCCTTGGACAGTGTTATCTGAAATATGACCCCCTTGGACCTATTTTTTAAATACCCCCCCCCCCCTTGGACAAAAAAATACCTCTTCCATAGGGGGGGTGCGGATAATTTCTGGAATAGCCCATTGATCCAAACAGCCATGCAGGGGAATAAGGGGGCTTTCACATGACATCTGGATATCAAACACTTTGTAAAGGCTCTTTTCTCCTGGAACACAATTATGGAGAATTTTACTGCTTAATGCCCCTGCACTGGCAGTCAGACACATACATCACTTTCAAATTGGCCAAAAAAATATCCACAGCAATGACCCTGCAGTGCATGAACAGACTTTAGGTGTTCACATAATATTACCTTTCATGTTATTCCTTCCCACTGTCCAAGATTAAGAGACAGAGTTTACAATTGAATTGTGAATTAATGTTTTGATTCCTAGACATAAGCTACGATTTTCCAGCATTTTGAGACATTTCGTTGAACTTAAGTAAAATTACCACTGGCTTTTATGCCCCCATTACATAAAGAGTGGGCATATAGGTTTATTTTTTGCCCTTGTCTGTCTGCCCTTCCTGCTGACACATTGCCCATTTATAGACTGACAAGACAGTGGAATGTGGGGGGTATCTTTGTCCTATGGTTTCCAAAGGGGATCCAAGTTACATTACATATATGGAATGCCTAGCTCTATGGAAAAGAATCGGTTAACTGTAAAATTGCATTTGATGAATCTGTTATCCTTAACCCATTACTTCATATACACGCCTTTTAACGCCTTTTTTCACCCCCCCCCTTTTTGTTGTCTCAAATGATGAAAAAATGCCTTATTGAGGCCCCAAACACTTGTTTTTGTTTGAGAAATGTTGTTAAAAAAAGTGACCTCTTTTTCGGCGCGGCCCCCCAACCAAAAGATACATCGGGGGGTTGCCAGAAGGGGGATGTGCCCCCTTCTGTTTGGGGGGTTTGAAGGGGGGCGGAGTCCCCCTCATCGCCAAGAAAATTTTGGACTTGTGAGAGGCTGTAAATGACCCCAGATTGATCATAAGGTAACGTGTAACCAACGCTGAAAAGCATTTGACTCTATCTCAATCCATTGAAAAGTTGCAGCACTTTGAAATCAAATTTGATGGAAAAAATCAACGCAAAATAGTGATTTTTGGCAATTTTGAGATGTCCCCTCGTTGCCATGGTAACAGAAAATTTAAGCCTGAGCATGTTGTTGCAAGGGCAATGGTCCAGTCAACATTTGTGCCAAGTATGATTAGTGTTGAAGCAGTTTTTATAGTAGTATAGCAATTTGAACTTGTAACGGGAGACTTTTCAATGAAAACAGCCATTTTTCACAAAATGCTCATGAAGCAATGGGTTAATTCTTTTCACAGATTACATACTGGCGAATTGTGTGCGTGAAAGGATATGGAAGACGAAGCACACAATGGTGGCCTGGGTGATCCTGGCCCTCAAAACCTCAATGATCTACAGAGCTACCTCGTTAATTTCAACAAGGAGATTGGCGTGCATGGAGAAGGGTCAGCGTTCCACCATACAGTCTCTCAGATGATAAACCAAGCTGCACAGCCAGTGTTTGTGTCCGTGTCAGGTAAAAACACTAGTAGTTCAGTTTAATTCACTTTAACTTTCTAGGTTGTCTTTCCTACAGGCAGTGATTTTTTTCCAATTTTCAAAACAACCTGTGGCTTTCCTTAGGGGAAAATATAGTGAGATAAATCAGAAAAGGGAAGATACCTGAAATCAGATTCTAACAACTGAGAATGGAAATAACCAACCCATTTTTATAAAATTTTCATTTTAAATTCACTTTAATATGCATGGTACATAATAGAAGCTGTCTATAGGGACAGCTTTCTGTCTTCTAGCTGATATAAGTCAGATGTTGTTATGTCATTGTTCTTGTAAGGAAGAGCACAAGGTATTTTAGGGGAAAATATTTGCACTTTTAGGGGAAAATAAACCTATTTTGAGCTAGGGGAAACAGTCTTTTATCAGCTGTAAAATACAGTGAAAAAAGTGACTGCTACAAGGAAGGCAAATATAGCTGATTAAAACCTGGAATTGAGAAATAAAACTCTCAATAAGTTAAATAGATATAAAAAAAGCACTTTGTTGTCAATAAGTTTCATGCAAATGGAACTCTGATCAACTTTATTAGTCACGGGGCTACTTTATACATTCCTTGGGTGTCTTTGAAGTTTCATTCCACTGATGGAGGACCACATGGAGTTATACTTCCCTTTAGGAATAGTCTTTTGCAAATTTTTTATTTTGATGTTTTATTTGCAGAGTATTTTAAATCCTCAGTTTCCTCGGAAACAACAACACCAGATGAAGAACAACTTCCTGTCATCTCAGACATGAAGGAACAAAAGTCCCCTGATATCAGCACAGATATAGATGGCGCTATGACGACAGGGGAGGAAACTCTGAACAGTGCTGGTGCAGCAGACGACATGATATATGAAATGACACAGAAGCAGACACCTTTAGGTGCGTACATTGTAATTATTAATTATAATACACTGGTACATAATAAATTATTTTTACTGCACATTTCACATTGATAATAATTACTATGACCCAACAGACGGAAAATCAATAAATATAATTTCATAAGAGTGTGATCAGTAATGACTTGTTTAATCACATTAGGTTAAATTTTAGATATGTGAGGCATATAATAACCTGAAATTTTAACCAAACATTTCAGACCAAGTTGTTATTGAAGCTCAGAATGAAGCATTGGAACCTGGCAGAGTAACGCTGCAGGAGTTAAACCTAGAACAGCTTGGGTTACAGCATCAAGCCATCGCAGTCTCTGATGGTATATTTATAATTTTAATAAATTAATTTCTGAAGGGAAGATGACAGTTTTAAAGATCCTTTAACTCAACTTTTTTATGGTTTATTATCATAATTATAATGCTCAAATGAAGATTTGTCAATATTGTGAGTTCCAAAAAGCCTTATTTGTAGATATTACTAAATTTACATTTCATGTGAATAGAGGGAGGTAATTATAAATTTATTTTCAATAAAGTCTAAGTCAAATTTTTCAATAAGAAATGAATGCATATATTTTAATGATTGCAAATAATATGCACAAATATTTGCTGTACATATTCTTTGATATTTGAAAATTGTTTTAGAAGCATAATTATATACATATATAAAATTTTACTTAAGTGTGGGTACAACCTTAATTACAACATACAGAATCTTATAAAAATATTAATATTTACAATTTGGCTCTTAAAACGGATTTAAATCAGGGGTCTTTTGGCGGCAAAGGCTAATCACTCTTGGTCCAGAAGGTTATGGGTTAAAGATATTCCTGTTTCATCACAAACATGATTTTCTTCTTGTGTTTTCTTGCAGGTATGATAATGTTACCCATGGGCGATGCGTGCAATTTACTCGGACAGGCTACAGAGCACAAGCTTGCTCAGGTCCAGATAGTCAATATCAATGGTCAACCAACACTACAACTTATTGGTGACTCCAGTCTATTACAGTCACAGTTAAACAGCACAGGTATGAGACCATAAAATATGGAATCAGGGGAGGGGGGGGGGGGGACCAGTTTGGAAATTTAAAGCTAATTTATTGGTCAACTGCATCCAAAAAAATGGAGTAGTTTTGGAGTTAAAGTTACATAGCATATAAGCTTACATTATAAATTTGTTTAATATAAGTTTTAAGTTTCTGATATGGTCATTTTTAGATTTTCCTGCTACGCTTGTAGGGGGAACCTTGTGTTGAGCTTACAGTCAAGTGCAAGTATTTTTTTTATATGATAACAGCTTTTGAACAGTCACTTTTTTTGAATTTTTGGATAAATAAATGCTTTTGTTTGGTCGTAGGATTTTTTGTAAATGTATAAACATTTTTGCTGATAAATCATTTGTATGCAAAGAAGATTATGTTAAGACCGGACTATTTTAACACTCACATCTTTTGCAATCATTGGATACCTGTGATCTTTTGTGCGTTGCTATCCATAATGTCTCTAAACAACATCTTTACTTAAACAACATAGTAGATTTTTAACCAAACTTCTTAATAAGAACTTTAGCTTGCCTTCTATGAAAGTTTTATAATATGGTCTAGCTTGGTACACAAGTAGGTCACAATAGATTTGTTTAATGTAAAATCAGGAGAATAAAGTGTGAAAGGAAGTATTGCTAATGAAAACCCATAGTTATAATAAACTTTTTTTATATTTCACAGCAGCAGTGGTAGGATCGGAACCACAGGCTATAACAAGTATCATACCCAACGCCTCCTTACAGTCACTCATAGACACAACCAACCAGGCGGGAGCCGTCACTTCAGTAGATTGCACAAACCCGGTGGCAGTGCTGGCATCAGTTGCGGCAAACACTAACTCTGTCAATCAACTTCAAGCGCATCAGCTTCAAAACATCCAGATACCTGCACAGGTAGGGTTTTTATTACTATTACTCTGCAGAATTTTCAGAAAACCCCTCAAACATTTCCTGCTTTTAATCTGGATTTGTTTGTTGTACTTTTATATCAGTATATGAAAATTGAGCAAGCAGAGGGGGATTTTGAAAAAAATTCTTGACCTCATACTTGTTTTTGACTAGAATGAATTTGGCAAGTGTGATCCTTTCTAGTGAGAATCCTGGATGTAGGATCTTACTAGTCATCCTTGGTTGTGGGATCTTACTGGTGATACCTAGATGTAGGATCTTACTAGTGATCCCTTGATGTAGGATCTTACTAGTGATCCCTAGATGTAGGATCTTACTAGTGATCCCTAGATGTAGGATCTTACTAGTGATCCCTAGATGTAGGATCTTACTAGTGATCCCTAGATGTAGGATCTTACTAGTGATCCCTAGATGTAGGATCTTACTAGTGATCCCTAGATGTGGGATCTTACTGGTGATCCCTAGATGTGGGATCTTACTAGTGATCCCTAGATGTGGGATCTTACTGGTGATCCCTAGATGTAGGATCTTACTAGTGATCCCTAGATGTGGGATCTTACTGGTGATCCCTGGTTGTGGGATCTTACTGGTGATCCCTAGATGTAGGATCTTACTAGTGATCCCTAGATGTAGGATCTTACTGGTGATCCCTGGTTGTGGGATCTTACTGGTGATCCCTTGATGTAGGATCTTACTAGTGATCCCTAGATGTAGGATCTTACTAGTGATCCCTTGATGTGGGATCTTACTGGTGATCCCTGGTTGTGGGATCTTACTGGTGATCCCTTGATGTAGGATCTTACTAGTGATCCCTAGATGTAGGATCTTACTAGTGATCCCTAGATGTGGGATCTTACTGGTGATCCCTGGTTGTGGGATCTTACTGGTGATCCCTTGATGTAGGATCTTACTAGTGATCCCTAGATGTAGGATCTTACTAGTGATCCCTTGATGTAGGATCTTACTAGTGATCCCTAGATGTAGGATCTTACTTGTGATCCCTAGATGTAGGATCTTAGTGATCCCTAGATGTAGGATCTTACTAGTGATCCCTAGATGTAGGATCTTACTAGTGATCCCTAGATGTAGGATCTTAGTGATCCCTAGATGTAGGATCTTACTTGTGATCCCCAGATGTAGGATCATACAGTGATCCCTGGATGTTGGGGTCTTACTAGTGACCCTTGAATGCAACTTCTTCTCTTTCTTATACAGGAGACTCAGCTGGTTGCCCTGAGAGACGGTTCAGATAGTGGTCAGCCCCAGGTGTTAGCATTGTCATACACTGATATAGAGACAGGTGCAGTAGTTACCCAACAAGAAGGTTCAAGCCTATTAAAGAAGAGTACAGGTAATTTATGATTTAATTGAACATTACATTGGTTACTTGTAGCCAAATGGTCAATGGAACCGAAAGTGAATAAACCTTTGTCACCAGTATAGAACTAGGTCTGCTTGCACATCATTGCAGTCTGACCAGGATCTCTACTGTTAGTAACACAATTTGTGTATTTTGAATGGGTTGATTCAAATTGAAAATTGAGTTAATTCATTGAATAAGTTATGCAGGTTAAAGGTTTATGTCATTGTCTGCCATTTGCTTGCCACATGAATTCTCAATCTCATTAAAATAACTATTTTTAGAAAGCTTAACAAATTTCTAGTGAGAACATTTCCTTAGTGTGATGAAACAAAATAAAAAAACACAAAAAAATGCAATGTTTGGCAAATGAAGTCTTCATATATAGTCCTGTTCCAGAGCCATCTCAAAAAAACTTCTTGGGATCTACCTCCCCATCCTTCAGTAAAGACTAAAAAATAAGCATATGGCTTCCATATTTTTTTGACAAGACTTGAAACCTGACAGATGGAATGTAGTTATAAATGTGTTTTACAAGGTACCATTCTGTTTTACAGGGTACCAGTCTGTTGCTATACTTCCCTCTGGTGATACAAGTCAGGGGGAGGTCAACTATGTCCTAATTGTTAACCCTGCAGGGGACAAAGACAATAATCAGGGACCCACGTATGATTTTGGCGATAACATCACGGGCGAAGTTGTCGAGGAAATTACAGACGAGACCGGTGCAACAAAGAGGCTCGTGAAGATAAATCAGCTTGTGCGTAATAACACGTTAAACCTGAGAGAAGTTGCTGCAGACCAGCTGGCATGCTCCCATTGTGATTATACCAGTCCTAAAAAGTAAGTCGAGTTACAATTATTTACAAAGTTAGGAAACAAACATCATCCTGAAAACTTTTTTGGATGTGGGAAGCTTATTTATGTGAACTTTTATTACATTCATCCTCTCCAATGGCCACTTTCATTCATAAATAAAAATCTTACATATTTGGTATGTAGTACATTGTATTGACCTTTGTATGTTTGTGTGAATTTTCATTTAATGGGGTCATTGTCAAAAAGGTGTTAAATTGATTATTCTGCTTTCGCCATTGCTTTTAACAATAATTTATCTGTGTCACGGAGCTGTATATGAAATTAAGTGACTAAAACAAATGGAAGCAAGAATCATAGGCAAAGTGCTCTATGGCAAACCAGTGCAAGTAAAAATAAATGATTAAGAATGAACGTTTCATGTTTTTATTGCACAACTGTACAGTTTCCTCTTTTTAGCAATCATTAGGTACAAATGAAGATGATGTGCAATATAAACATGAAACACTGATTCCTAAGTCATTTGTTTATGAAGTGAAGCGTATATTTTAGCTAATGAAATTTCTTGATCTATTTTTAAATATTTTTGTGCAAATTTATTCTTTTCAATATGAACATTATCTATATACATGCATCTATGTTTCTACAGATATTTACTCTCGCGTCACATGAAGTCCCACTGTGACGATAGACCTCATAAATGTGGCATATGTAACCGAGGATTTAAAACGGTGTCTTCCCTCCAGAACCATATAAATACTCATGCCGGTGTACGACCTCACAAGTGTAAAATGTGTGAATCAGCTTTTACTACTTCTGGTGAACTTATTCGCCATATCAGGTATGTTAACTAATAAAAATTGAATCCCGCAGAAATTTATTTTTTAAATGGATGAAGCTGAAAATCTGCTGCTTGTAGTATAAGTAAATAAGTTAAACAATTTTATTTAAGAAATAATATCGGTCTTAGCGGTGTTTATTCGCTATTTAACACCGGTTTGAAGTTTTGATGCGTATGAATTGACCACGAAGGCCGTAGGCCTGGGTTGTTAATTTTTTTGCATGAAAACGACAAAACCGCTAAGACTGATATTATTTCGATTCTAGCACGATAAAATAAGAAAGATAACTTATGTTATTTTATCAAGCGGAATTAACTTCCGGTGCCGATTTCAGTATAACGTTGTTCAATTTTCGCACCCTACTGTTGCTAAGATATAGAAATTATTAAACAAAAGAAATAATAAGAAAAAAGATTATTTTATCAAGTTTTCAACAATAAAAGCTTAAGTCTTAGAATGGATTGTATTGTGTTTAAATTAGTGCCCGATTTATCATTCTTGTATGTATGAAATGACAATAGCGTTTATGAATGAGTTGTATACTTAGGATGATGTCACTACGCTGCTTACGGATTGGCACTTTTTTTTCAAAATATTTATTAACTGATATTGATCAAATATGTAGCATTGGTGTATGTGAGATATTATTTCGGTATTGTATGAAAAGAAAAAATTATAAGAACTGAAAATATAAATATAAATGCTTTCTATTGTTGCTTTGAAAGTTGTAAACTATATAATTGAGGGTGAAAAAATAACAGCCGCATATACAAGTAGTCCCTAACCAGTGTTTATTGGCAGTTCTTTTTTCTTCTTTGTCTATAGTGACATAATCACCTGGAGTGTTGATTTGTTTTTTTCATATTGGGTGTTCATTTGCAAGGTTATACCAAGGTTGTAGCTACTGTCAACCACATAAACTTTGACTTAAACGAAAGTTATGCAGTATTTTACTTAAAATTATTTTGTCAATCAGCAAGTTGTTTAAACCAAATATGACCTGTTTTACAGATATAAACACACCTTTGAAAAACCTCATAAGTGTATGGAATGTGATTATGCCAGTGTGGAACTAAGTAAATTAAAGCGACACATGAGGTCACACACCGGCGAGCGTCCGTACGCGTGCAACTACTGTAACTATGCATCACCAGATACGTACAAGCTGAAACGACATATGAGAATTCATACGGGAGAGAAGCCATATGAATGTGATATTTGTCATGCAAAATTCACGCAGAGTAATAGTCTTAAAGGTAATGTTTATATAGAACAAGTTTACTTCAAACTTCAAATTTTTGAGATATTTTGCATTTTTAGCTCGACTATTCGAAGAAAAAGGAGAGCTTTTGTACTCGCCTAGTGTTACGGCATCACAATTGGTTAAGTTTTTGTGTGCAAGTTAGTATTTCAAAAACTACTAAATGGAATTGGTTTGAACTTCACACACTTTGAGAGCACAATAGGAGGTCATTGTGGGTGTAGGTAAAGCCAATAACTCGAATTTTTTACAGAATAATTGCCCTTTTTTCAGCTGAGAAATTTCTTTACTATTCAGACTCTTGTTTTACTATCAAGCACTGAGAATAGTTGAACATGCTGTCCTACGATAGCTCTTGTATTTGAAGCCCATCCATTTTAAAAAAAGAGATTCCCAGTTTGATAATTGATATTATCTAATTTGATTATTTCCAAAATGAAATGGAAAGCACCTGTTGTCTGATTCTGTTTATACCTTAATCAGTATGATTTTAACATTTATTGAGGAGAGATACATTTAGGACTCAAGTCAAGTCAAGACTTGGTATTAAAATTAACTGAATTATAATGTAATACATATTAACATTCTTTTCTTTCAGCGCATAAATTGATACACAGTGGCAATAAACCAGTGTTCCAGTGTTCATTATGCCCCACCACTTGCGGCCGTAAAACAGATCTGAAAATACACATGCAAAAACTGCACTCCACCGATCAACCTCTACTATGTAAGAAATGTGGCGAAACATTCCCTGACCGATATACTTTTAAAGTTCATTTCAAATCCCACGAGGGGGAAAAGTGCTTTAAATGCACAGAGTGTGATTATTCTGCAATATCGCAAAGGCACGTGGACACTCATATGCTTGTTCATTCGGGACTTAAACCTTTTGAATGTGAAGATTGCGATTTGGCATTTCGCCAGAAAGCCCTTTTAAAAAGGCACCGTAACCTGTACCATAACCCTCATTATATTCATCAAGATATGAAAGATAAAGAACCGGAATGTAAAGCATGTGAAAAGTCGTTTGCTAACAAAAATAACCTCACCGGGCAAATTCAGAGTCCTGGTGATACACTGACTATACACACGTCGGACGAAAGCGAAAACGACCTTGGTAATATTCATACATGTGGCGGCTGCCCGAAATCTTTAGTTGACAACATTACACCTCTGACGGCTGATCAGTTAATTGAAAACAGTCTGTTAGCTGACATGAAGGAAGGAAAGCTTGGCACATCTCCCAAGGTCGTTGTTGTACATCCAGACGGGAGAGTTGAGGAAGTGACGGCAAAATTACAAAGTCTTAGCCAATCAAAACCAATGGATGACTTCCTGGTATCTTTAGGAGTATCTGGGGACTCGCATTTTGGTAATAAAAAAATTTGTTTAAATTTACTTACGAAGATTCTTTTAATTATATTAATTACTTTCTTCAGTGGTATTTTAACTGCCCATAAGCCTATTGATTCTGATGGTCATTTGTATTTCATTAGTGGGACTAGTAGTTGGTGACTTGCGAAAAATTTGGTAATTACATGTTTATTATCCAGGAAAGCAGGAAGTGTCACTATTATACAAAATGCTCTTTTTAATATTATGAAAAAAAAGCTTTACTCCTAGCTTCTCTCAAATTATTTAAAATTAATTGAGAACTTTTCTGTATTAAATATTATTGAAGGATAGCTGTTAATTTGAATTTCATTGAATTTATATGCAATAAATCCACAACCACAATAGGTGCTCATATGAAATTTCACTCATGTCTTCGTTAACCTACAAAATTCCTGCTGGACCCTTAAGTTACTATTGAGTAGTCAATTAAGTTGGAGTCTCCAGCTGGCTGTCAGTCTGAGAGCTTGCATTTTGTAGCTTTAAGAAGCAGGAAGAATTGATAGCTTTAAATAATGCCCTGTGTCTTTAATTTCAGATCAAAGCCTCCAGCTGGCTATCAGTATGAAAGCTCACATTTTGTAGCTCGTTTAAGTAGGAAGAATTGATAGTTTTACATAATGCCGTGTGTGTTAAATTTCAGATCAAGTGTCGGGTTTACCAGCAGAGGTTTGTGTGTCTGAAGTACATACCTTAGTCTCCATGAAAGATGATAACTCCATGGAAAGTCAACCAAAATATGTGCAATCTAGTGACAGTACTGGTAAATATTCTTTTTCCCTTCTAAATTGATGTCATAAACTTGATCGGCCATGATTTGGAAACAGACAGTTACAAAGTTGAAACATTATTTGTGTTTGGTTGTATAAAGCTTGTAGCTTATTTGAACAACACTCAATTCTACGTTCAGGAACTAAAACAGGGTTTGAGGCATTTCCTTAGAAAGTGCTTAAAAGCAAAAAAAGTCCTCTATAATTAATCTTGAATTGGTAACACTTAAAGTGCTTGAAAACACTATTTGAAGGACAGAGAGCTATTTTACTCACTATGACTTTGGTGTCATCGTCATACTGCAAGTTGGTATCTTCATAACAACTGAAAAGAATAGGTTGAAACTTCACAGACTTATTTGAGAGCATAAAAGGTCATCACTGTCAAAGGCTCATTACTCTAAAATGGATTTTGACAGAATTATGGCCTTTTTGGATCTTAGAAAATTCTACATTAACAAAGCTCTTATTTTACTATCAAGCACTTAGCATCGTCAAGCATGATGTCCTTATTTGTGACTTATAAATCATTTTAACACATAATATATAAATAATCAAATTTATTTTTCAGACAACATTGAAGTAAATCCAGTGTTAGATACGGGTAGTTTTCAAGTAGGAACAATAGTGGCCGGGCTTGATATAGATCAGACCAAGGAGGAGGGGACCCAGGCCAGTTTCGATTCTGACGACGATGATAAAAAAGTTAAAGTGCTATCGCAAGAACAGTTCCTAAGTCTTGCACAAGGTTCTGCAGCAAATGGTAGGTGTTTTAATATAATCATGCTGTGATTTTGTATACTATATACCAGATTTTGGTGTCATTTTATGCTCCTTAGAGTTAGGTCATATAATTTTGATCTTTTTCTGAGGAAACTTTAACTGAAGGCCTTGGATTCTATAAGCTAGAGATATCATATATGAACACAACAAAGTTCTCGGTTAGGGCTTCATTTTATCTTTTCTACAATATTAATCTTAAAAAGACTTGCCCATCTTCCAATTTGGACAAAATCATTCATGATTTCCTTTTATTTATGTATTGACTGAATAGGGATAAGTGTTACTGTAGACCATGATTAGATGGCATGAATGTACAGGCTCATGCTGATCTTGGTCTGCAGTGGTCACATGATTGTGTAAATGTAGGCTTAGAGTTTAATAACTTTTTATTGTCAACTTTATCTTTCATGTGTATTTTAAGAGTTTTAAATACAGGAGGCTTTATTTATTTGTTGCTATAGAAACCAAATATATTTGTATTATATTTTATTTATAGATTTGCGAGACTGTTTTGAAGAGAATGGATATAGAATAATTCAGGTGGATCAACCTATTGTAGGAAATGTGCCACAAATTGTTGTTTCTATGCTGTCAAATGAAGAAAATAGGTCAGTATATAAAATATATAGATAAGTCATGTTGGATTTTTAGCTCGACTTTTTTTTTTTTTGAAAAAAAAAGTAGAGGTATTGTTATAGTCAGGTCGGCGTTGCCTTTGCCGTTGCCGTTGCCGTCCGAAAACTTGTACCTGGATCATAACTTTTTATTTCTTGGTGTATTGTCTTCATACTTGGCCACAACAACCCTTGGGACAAGACCTTTCAGTAGACCACACTAACCTTGACCTTCATCCATAAATGACCTTGACCTTCAAGGTTAAAAGTCCAATTTTTGCTTGTTCATGCTGTTATTGGCTGTAAACTTTTGTTATTTTTGAATGGATTGTCTTCAAACTTGAACATAATAATCTTCAAGGATATCCCTTAAAAATAAACCAGTCAGACCTTGACCTTCACTCATCAATGACCTTGACTTTGAAGGTCAAATTATTGAAATTTTCATTTTTTTGGCTATTATTGGCTGTAACTTTGTTATTTTTGAATGGATTGTCTTCAAACTTGAACATAATAATCTTCAAAGATAACTGTTAAAAATATACGGAAAGACCTTGACCTTCACTCATTAATGACATTGTCTTTGAAGGTCAAATTATTGAAATTTTCATTGTTTTGGTGGTAACTCACAGACTGTAACTTTGCTATTTTTGAAGGGATAAACTTCATATTATAACAGAACATTCTTAAGGACCAGACCTTGTTGTTTATCAAACCCAAATTTGCTTGGGCTCTTTAATGACCTTGACCTTGAAGGTTATATTACTGAATTTTCTCAGATTGTGCATTTATTGGTGTGTGTGTATGTATAGTATATGTATTATATATATATTTTTTCTTCTATTTTTAGAAATTGTGTCATTTTTTTCTATTTTTAGAAATTGCGTCATTTTATTCTATTTTTAGAAATTGCGTCATTTTTTCTATTTTTAGAAATTGCGTCATTGTTGCTATTTTTAGATTCTATTTTAAGAAATTGCGTCATTTTTTCTATTTTTAGAAATTGCGTCATTTTTTCTATTTTTAGAAATTGCATCATTGTTGCTATTTTTAGAAATTTCGTCATTGTTGCTATTTTTAGAAATTGCGTCATTGTTGCTATTTTTAGAAATTTCGTCATTGTTGCTATTTTTAGAAATTGCGTCATTTTTTCTATTTTTAGAAATTGCGTAATTTTTTCCATTTTTAGATTCTATTTTTAGAAATTGGGTCATTTTTTTCTATTTTTAGAAATTGCGTCATTTTTTCTATTTTTAGAAATTGCATCATTGTTGCTATTTTTAGCTCACCTGAGCACGAAGTGCTCAAAGGTGAGCTTTTGTCATCACTCTGCGTCCGTCGTGCGTCGTGCGTCCTTTAAAAAATGGCGTCAAACTTTTCAAACAACATCTCCTCCTTAACTACAAAAGGCCAATTGCAACCAAACTTTACAGAAATGATCCTTAGGTGAACCCCTTTCAAAGTTGTTCAAAAATTTAAATTCCATTAAAAACTCTGGTTGCCATGGCAACAATAAGAAAAAACTTAAAAAATCTTCTTTTCTAAAAAACCGTAAAGAGCTAGAGCTTAGATATTTTGGCATGAAACATCTTCTAAATGAGTGCCTACCAAGTTTGTTCAAATCAAAGCCCTAAGGGTCAAAATTGGCCCCGCCCCAGGGGGTCATTGATTTTCCCTATATGCATATAGTAAAAACTTAAAAACTCTTCTTTTAAAGAACTCAAAGAGCTAGAGCTAAGATATTTAGCATGAAACATGTTTCTAATGGGTGTCTACCAAGTTTGTTCAAATAAAAGCCCTGGGGTCAAAATTGGCTCCGCCCCGGGGGTCATTGATTTTCCTTATATATCTGTAAAGCAAAAACTTAAAAAATCTTTTTTTTAAAAAAACCCAAATAGCTTGGAGTTTAGCTATTAAGCATGAAACACCTTCTTAGTGAGTGTCTACAAAGTTTGTTTCAAAAATCATTCAAAGCCCTAGGGTCAAAATTGGCCCCGCCCGGGGGTCATTGATTTTCCTTATAATGACTGTGTAATAGCAAAAACTTTAAAAATCTTCTTTGAAAAAACCCAGATAGCTAGTGTTTAGATATAAAGCATGAAACATCTTCTAGTGAGTGTCTACCAAGTTTGTTCAAATAAAAGCCCTAGGGTCAAAATTGCCCCCCCCCCCGGGGGTCCCATTGATTTTCCCTATGTGCATATAGTTAAAAACTTAAAAAATCTTCTTTTAAAGAACTCAAAGAGCTAGAGCTAAAGATATTTAGCATGAAACATGTTCTCATGGGTGTTCTACCTACAAGTTTGTTCAAATAAAAGCCCTGTGGTCAAAAATTGGCCCCGCCCCGGGGGTCATTGATTTTCCCTAATGTGCATATAGTAAAAACCTAAAAAAAATCTTTTTTTTAAAAGAACTCAAAGAGCTAGAGCTAAGATATTTAGCATGAAACCATGTTTCTCATGGGTGTCTACCAAGTTTGGTTCAAATAAAAGCCCTGGGGTCAAAATTGGCCCCGCCCTGGGGTCATTCATTAGCTTTTGACTTTTTTTTTTTTAGATATATACATATTATATATATACATATATATTTAAATTTATATATATATATATATATATATAATATATATATATATATATATATATATATATAAATAAGATATATATATATAGATATATACTATACATATTATGCATACATATACAACCAAGTTTGTTCAAATAAAAGCCCTGGGGTTTAAACTGGCCCCGCTCCAGGGGCCTATATACAGGTGAGCGACTTTGGGCCATCATGGCCCTCTTGTTAGAAATTGTTGCTGTTAGAAATTGCGTCAATTTTTCTATTTTTAGAAATTGCGCCATTGTTGCTATTTTTAGAAATTGAGTCATTTTTACTATTTTTAGAAATTGCGTCAATTTTTCTTTTTTTAGAAATTGCATCATTGTTGCTATTTTTAGAAATTGTGTCACTTTTTTATTTTTAGAAATTATGTCATTTTTTTGTATTTTTAGGAATTGCGTCATTTTTTCTATTTTTAGAAATTGCGTCATGTTGCTATTTTAAGAAATTGCGTACTGTTGCTATTTTTAGAAATATGCTTAATGTTTCTATTCATATATATACAAAATATATAAAGAAAACTAATGTGACAAGACAGACCAACTAAATTTATAAAAAGGAAACGTTAATATATGTTCAAACCTTTCTATGTTTGCGTTTAGAAAAAGTAAAAGTCGAGCGTTGCCCCCGCCCGGCGGTGGCTCTTGTTAAATGTGGTACAGTGACTGTCCAGATGTATGAGTAGAGTAAGGCAACAGGTAACTTCCGTGCATTATTTTGTGCTGATTCAATCTTAAAGGCACATCATGCTTCAGGAACAAATAAATGTTTACTTCTTTAGATCAAACAAGAATTTTTTAATTCTAAAATAATGTTTTAAGAGATTTTTTGATGCTTGTTACATGAAAAAGTAGTGATAAATGTGAAATATTTTGTCATAAAAGTAGCAAAATGTAAACAAAGTAGTATTTTGATTTCAGTACAAAATACTAATTCACTATGATTTTACTTTTTGCCAAAAAACAACTGATGAAAAAAAATGGTATAGGTAATTGGCCAATGAATAACTTTTTGGATACTATTAAATTACACCAAAATTAAAAAGCTTTTTAGAAGCAAAACAAAAATTAAAGTATTTCTGAGGCATAATGGGCCTTTAACCAATTGATAAATAGACATAAATGATCAGGGTTATGGCTTTCATTATGTGAGATTGACTGATGAATACCGGTTACCAAAATGGCCATTGATAAAGAAATATAAGTCAGTGAACATTTCCACATTGTGAAACTTACAATCTTGCATTCTTTTACTGATAATTACATGAAATGCATTCTTTCTCTTATCACTACATATGAAATAATGGTAACATAATTTTTCAGATCTGAAAAAAGAGCCAGCGATGTAATAGTGGATGTGATTGATGATGAGACGACCTTGAAAAGGTTAAGAACAGAGTCACTACAAGCAGTTACAGATGAATGACCTCCTCTGTATGACCTTGACCTTGATGTGTTATAAACTACACCACAAACATGTTCATAATGTGTGCATATTTATATTCTGCTTATTTATCTTCATAAAATGTAGTGTGAAGGAGTCTTGGGGGGAAAACAAGGGATTTCCCTAGAATTCAAGTTAAATAGGTCCTTTTTTCAAATCCGTAAAAAAATCCTATTTAGAATAAAATATTTGTACAAAAGTTACAATTCTGAGATTCATTTTTTCTCTCCAATGAACCAAATTAAATGAGTGAATTTTTTTTTTCAAAAGAGCATATGGTACCTGGATTTGTTCCAAAAAGGTTACAAAAACTCAAGTGTAACATAATTTTTGAACGAGACTTAATGAAAATGAAATAAATGTAAAATTTAAAGTGGTTCTCTACCTCCAGCATGTGATTGGTTGCTTAAAACTAGAGATTAGTTTTGATTCTTGTACCTTTTAAGGGAGTTTTACTGTAGCAGGTCAAGATATTATATGCAATGTTAATAGGAAATTCCTTATTTATGAATAATACATGTGCCATTACATTACTTTCCAACTTACTTCATTTGATTAAAGGCTATATTTCATCAATGTTATATTTGAACTTATAAGAAATAAAGTAATTACCCTTTTAGCGAGAGGAAAAAAACCAAACAAACATCCATAAACTTTAGGCAATGCTACATTCATTTGAAAAGATGTACCATTTATGTAAAGAAAATGGAGTAGGAAGGCAGGTCACCATCTAAGAAATGCAAACAAATTGTTCCGCTGAGAAAATTATCCTCCTCCATTATCTAAGCTCTTGTTTTATTATTAAACAATAAGAATAGTCACACTCGCTGTATGTACCACTGTTAGCTCATGTAACGCTTTCCTGGACTGGTATGTAAATTTATGTTTTAGACTGGTCTGTATGTACAGGTTTTACTGTAGGTATGTCAAAGTAGATAGTTGAAAGGCGAGAAATTCATCACTGTTACATGTAGGAACTTTAATGATCAAATAAGACTCCTGAAACAATGAAATATACCCTTAACATTGTTCTTGATTACTTTAAGTGTATGAAAATTATGATAAATGTGAATTTGTAGACAAATATTGTTTTGATGTATAGCTTCCATGCATATTTTGTTATTCTATATTGCTTATTTATGGTTTGTTTGTTTGTTTATGTAATTTATAACAGGGCTGTTAAGTTTGTTTTTGTGTGTTTGAAACACTAGTTTTGTTAATCTTGTCCACACATCTGAGCTTAAAAGCTCTTTTGTGACTGGGTTGGTGATTTCAGGCGTAACTGAGCTTAAGATTAAAATATTTTAAGCTCAACTTAACCTTTAATGATTTTTAAGCTGTAATGAATTTTTTGGTTGTCATGGTTAGCTTTAAGCTTATTTTGAGCTTTATTTAATAAAGATTGATTGAGCTTAAATTTATTATGTGATGAGCTTATTTAAGCTTATATGGAAAAGAAAGAAGTGTCAAATATTAAACTTATAGCTCACATTGAGCTTAAATATTCAAACATTTCACATAAGCTTTTATTTAAGCCTGTTATGAGCTTAAATTGAGTCAGATTAACAAAGCTTTGTAATTGTATGTGCAGTCAGATTTGAAACCATCTCTGTATTGAGCTCAGTTGAGCATGGACTTTTTTATATCCCTTGTTTTGAGAAATATAAAAGATGATCTGTTCAAAAAGTTTCTAGCAATTTGTCCTAGCTCTAAAAAATATTGTGCAAAGCTGTACTAATTAATTATCTAAGAGAAATCTAAAAGTTTACTTTGAAAAAGTATTATGCACTAGTCAATTGTATTACCCTGACCCACCTATTGAAATTGATGGAAACTTTTTGATTATCAAATGCCCTTATAAGGCCCTACCCGATGAAGACAGTAAGATGGTTAAATCCTTACTAAATGTCCCCTTTTAAAGCCAAAATAGAGCTATTGAAGTGTCCATTGAAGGAAAGTAAAAAAATCTGGGGTTTTCTCCTGCTGTTTCTCAACAACACAAAGAAATTAATGAATAAAATGATGTGCTTATTTATTCCAAATATTTTAGCAGTTTTTAGAAAATCACTCAAATAAGGCATACATTTTAGACACCCATCTTGGAGTTTTCTGGGAGGAAACTGTGATTTTTAAGATCTACAAATTATAAGCTTTCAGATAATGTAAGTTTTAAACCTGTGCAAATTTTGCCCGGGTATACAAAAGCACAGACTACCATAGGTGGGAGGAGCAGACATACAATTGTTTGGTGCATTTTATAGGGTTACTTTAATTATCATCAGAAAATTCATCAAAAATACATAGACTTTTCCCGCATTTAAACATGTTGTCCCTGATTTAAAGTTAATTGATAGAAAAAAAAAATGTTAGAAAAAGCTAGAAAAAGCTAGAATGTAGAGTTAACTTTGCCTTTGATTGAATAGGCTATTTAAGTGAATAAGTTATGATCTTTGTTTATTTTTATACGTGTCTGTCTGTTTTGTTGTTTTTCATTGAAAATAAATTGCCATAAAATCATATCTGATGTTTTTCTTTTTTTTGTATGTTTTTGTTGAACTTGTATAAAAAAAATTATTTTAAAATGGCTGAAATTAATTATTATATGTCATTTAAATGATGACATATTTTGCTTATCTTACCTGAAGATATGAAAGTGCAAAGAGGCACAGTGTTTGACTTGGAGTCACAGTATGTATGTGAGGACTGTTGAATATAGGGCAATGTCTTATCTTTCTTGTTTCATTCATATATCTTAAAATCTTGTTTCAAATTATTACCAAACTTACAGTTATAAATGCACCATCAGATTAGCTTAACTCCCCAATTCCCCTGCACCCCCCCCCCCAAAAAAAAAACAAAAACAACAACAAAAAACACTTATTATAGAGAATAAAACTTTAAACTGGGTGTGATTAACACTGGGCAACTCAATCAACTCATTTTGAATTAAAATGGTATAATATAGATTTTGTTGTATGTAGAATGAATTATTTGGAAAAAATGGCTCAGCTTTTAACTGGACACTGAACTAAAATCACTGGACCCTCAGCATTAAGTGTTTAAATCGAAACACTGCTGGCAGTCTGCCAAGAATCTGATAGAAGGTCTATAAGCGGACCAGTAATCCTACCTAAAATAATGCTGGTCTGAAGTTGTCACTCGGTAATATGTGGAACGCCATAATGTGCTTGAGCTGATGTGACTATAAAACTCAGCCCCTAAAAAATAAATGTACCACCCAATACTAAGGGGTTGGAAACAAAATCCATTTTTCCCCCCAAAAAAATATAACCCATTATGTTATTACAATATTGTATATAGGTCATATTTTCGGAAAAAATCTGGATTATATTACAAAAAGCTCATTGGCCCAATACATACAATAAAAAAAAAAAAATTAATTAAAGACTTACTTCTGACGGGCATGTGTTTTGGAATATACACGGTATGTTTTAGAATGTATACAGTACAAAAATATTCATGTCAATTTGTATTGGAAGATTATTCTCTTACATGAAACGATGAGCAGGTTTAATTCTTTCCTACTGACAGTTTTGTTATTTGAAAGCAGATACATTCATGTAGAAGGTGAATATAACAATGTGCATGATTTGGAGCAATTTGTTAAAGAGGAGTTTAGGCATTTAAGAGACAACGAGAAAGAGTTAAACCACAAAATTTCTACTCTTGAAAAAGAAAATGAAGATAAAGGGAGACAAATAAGAAAACTTGAGGAAGAGTTAAAGTACCTGAAGAAGGAAAGAGAATTGGATCAGAGAACTCGCAGGCAGTCGAGAACTCTCGTTGCTTTTACAGCCTATAAATCTCAACATATTCACAATATAACAAAGGAACAAAAAATTGTCTACGAGCATGTGAGTAAACATTAAATTGATACTTTGTATAAAGTATACTAATTATTGTGTTCTTATTTTGTGCATGCTCTCACAAATTAATGAAATATAGAGAGGAACTGATGTCTGTCCAAAAATTTTCATTTGTAGATTTTCTGATAAATATCTATTTTTATTTGTGTCATCTTGGCTTTTCATTCGTAATTATAATAATTTAACAGAAATTTAAAAATATTGACAACAAATGTAAATGTATCCATTTGATTTTAGTCAATTACTGGTATTTCAATTTATTACAGTAAATTCTAATTTTCATTTACACTTTAGATATTGCTGAATGATGGAAATGCGTACGACAGTAACACCGGAGTATTTACAGCACCAGTTTCTGGTGTATACCTGTTCTCCTACTCAGTTGGGTCAAAGGCTATCCCTGGAGTACCCCTGACTCAGTATGACGTATTTACAAGACTCGTTATAAATGGTGTGCACCAGGTAATATTTTGTTTCTATATGTTAAATATTCAACATAGGTCAAATACTATGCTTAAAGTCTTGCTCAAACGCCTGTTTTGCTTGACATACATGTACATTGTAAGTTTGCATTAAGGATAAATACCAAGAAAACACATTTTTTTGTGTGTGTAACAAATATGATTCAGATAAGCTCCAATGACTGACGGATTTAACCCTTTCACTGCCATAGGGACGGCTAAAGCCGTCCCTGTTATTTTCGGCGTATTTGCCATATGGACAGCTTTAGCCGTTGCTATAATAATCATAATAGTAATAGTAAATTAATAATAATAATAAAAATAATAATAAATATAAAGAAAATTATACCATCGACAATAATTATTACTATACTAGCATATCTGGAAACATATATAATCATTATAATACTAAATAACAAATAATAATTATATTAATTAATAATATACGGTAGTAATTTTTTAGAAAACCCTCTGGCAAATAGGTGATCAATAAAACAATAACCCTCTGGCAGCGAAAGGGTTAAATAAACATAATCTCCAAACAAGAGCTGTCGGTAGGACAGCAACGCTCGACTATTCTTAGTGCTTGATAGTAAAAAAAATGCTTGATACAGTTACCTCCTCCTGTTTACAGGTTGGGGTCATGATGGTGAACAAGTGTGCAAAGTTTCAAAGCCATATGTCAATGGACTTTGAAAATATTTGAACTATTACAAAAACTTTAACGTAAATTCTAAGTCGAAAAAGGGGCATAATTCTGTCAAAATGCTTGATAGAGTTACCTCCTCCTGTTTACAGGTTGGGGTCATGATGTTGAACAAGTGTGCAAAGTTTCAAAGCCATATGTTAATGGACTTTGAAAATATTTGAACTATTACAAAAACTTTAACGTAAATTCTAAGTCGAAAAAGGGGCATAATTCTGTCAAAATGCTTGATAGAGTTACCTCCTCCTGTCTACAGGTTGGGGTCATGATGGTGAACAAGTGTGCAAAGTTTCAAAGCCATATGTCAATGGACTTTGAAAATATTTGAACTATTACAAAAACTTTAACGTAAATTCTAATTCGAAAAAGGGGCATAATTCTGTCAAAATGCTTGATACAGTTACCTCCTCTTGTCTACAGGTTGGGGTCATGATGGTGAACAAGTGTGCAAAGTTTTAAAGCCATATGTCAATGGACTTTGAAAATATTTGAACTATTACAAAAACTTTAACATAAATTCTAAGTCGAAAAAGGGGCATAATTCTGTCAAAATGCTTGATAGAGTTATCTCCTCCTGTCTACAGGTTGGGGTCATGATGGTGAACAAGTGTGCAAAGTTTCAAAGCCATATGTCTATGGACTTTGAAAATATTTGAACTATTACAAAAACTTTAACATAAGTGGTTACGCCGACGCCGACGCTCGGGTGACTGCAATAGCTCTACTTATTCTTATCGATTAGTCGAGCTAAAAATTACTTCTACAGGGCTTTATGTAACCATTACCTTAATACTTGTATTAAAGCTTAGCCTGCTGGGGCAACTTATATTACCCATGTGACCAGTACAGACCAAAACCTGTGCCATATCATGCTCATGGTCAGCACTGTTCACTATTCAGTCAGTATTTATTCTCAAATTTTATGTAAAAATAATGAATTTGCTTTTTGTGTCCAGATTGAAAGATAGAGCAGGAAAAGTTCATTTAAGGAATTATGCAGTATAGGGCTTAATCTGAATGTTCATTCTGTCTGTTTTTTAATGTCTACATTTAATCACAATATTTCACAGGTATCGGCAGTAGCAGAAAGTACTTCAATAGATGATGATGAGCAAGGAAGCACTACTGCTATTTTGTTTGTGCTTGAAGGTGACACAGTCTGGACAATACATGAATTAAAGGGAGGTAGTAACTTATATTCTGATGATAGTGAAAGAGTTACCTCCTTCACCGGAACGCTGCTATACGAGAAACAGGTGTCCGGAAGCATCATTGGATAGATGAATCCTTTATTTTCTGCTTTTGAACATATTGAATTTATTTGGAACTCATTTTCAGTATAAACATTAAAACATCACAATTTAGTTGGTTATTTATTTTTTGTTTGTTTTACATTGTTAAGGTTTATTCAAGTCAATCTGTTACAGTATAGATCATTTAGGTCACTTTATAGCTTTAATAGTTGAAGAATGGCCGTTCCAACCTTGTGCATCAGGCAGGCGAGGGGAGGACGGAAAAGAGTAAACACAGTAGAACCATCAATCGTTTGTAAGCAAAATGAAAGAGTTCTGGAAAAGTAATGAAAAGTTTTAATATGACATCATTATGAAAAAGTAAACTTAGTTACACATATTTTACATAAATTGATTGGGTCAAGTTCTGAGCACTTTTTCCTCCATCAAGGGTCTTTTAAATAGATGTGATAGCTCTTGGGTGAACAAAAACTTGATATTGTAGCAGTAAAGTTTACATAGCATATTTCTGGACCATTTTGATATTAAAATCCCTTCAATTAACAATGGAATATTCCAAATTCAAAGCAGGACAAGTTCATTACATAAATACAGCAGGGTTAGGTTTAAAGCTATGGCTAAGTTAAACGACAGATGTTGCACAAAGCATAGTCTTTCACCTATACACACAAAATTAAGCAGTTTACATGTTATATTCGGTATTGCTATAATTTCATTCGTCTTGCCTCGGAATATATTCAAAACGTCCCTTTCAATGATTCAAACTGTAATTATTTGTTTTATTGGGTTTTACATCGCACCAACACAGAATAGTTTCCAGCTTTACTGGTGGAGGAAGACCTCAAGAGTAGAACCACTGGATAGCTTTCTCACATGAAAGAATTTGAAGACGTGGCACAGAAAGAATCTACGGTGTGAGAGACAACTGGTGTGAAGTCAACCACCTTAACCACATGGCCATGGACGCCCAAATGCAGAGATTAAAATGTGCTCAGAAGGGATTTATGATAAATTCGTTCATTTAATACATGAGATTTACAGCTATTGACCATAATTTATTTTAGTGACATGCTAAAAAAACTACTTATTGCTAATTAGATATTTTAACAAGTTTAATTAATTTTTTGTTATGTATAAAATCATTTTTAATCTCAATTACAAAACAAATCATATCACAATGCTAAAAAGCAGTCTGTACAACTTATAATTTTGCATTTATTTTAATATGGTGGAATTTTGTTTTTCTTTTAGAACAATTATATGATCTGAAAACTACGAAAATATGAGTGGCTTTGATTTTAAATTGAAACATTTTCTTTCAAAACCCTTAAAATGTGAACTTCCTTTGACGACCTACCTTGAAAAACAAAAAATATGAAGTAGGAATATATGTATATAATTAGTACCACAAAATAAGAATCAAACAGTGTACATATACTTGAATCTATTATTAGCTACTTTCTGTAAAATTACTACTGAAATCATACAAATCACTTAACATTATCAAAACTCTTAATTCACCTCAGGATCCATATTAAACCACAGGCACTAGACACAATTAATTTACCTCTATATGCTCATAATACTATATATAAAGAATAGAGGTAAATTAATTGTGTTTAGTGCCTGTGTATTAAACTATGATATACTGACTGAGAATTTTATATATCAGATACCCCAGTAATGATTAGCATTTTATGATGCTGGAAACAAATTTTCATAAAACTAGAATTTGTAAACAGTCCATAAAAGAGGTAATTAGAGGTCTAACATTTCTGACAATAAATTTTAACACAAGTAATTACATAACAATAACAATTATATAACAACATTTTCAATAATTTTTGTTGTTCAAATAGAATTCGAAAAATACATCTAGAAAGAAAACAATTCTGTATTTTTTAACATCAAAGTAAATTTCACACGTACATGTATCTGCAAAATTTATTTAAATTAGAAGTTGGAATTATTATATATAATAGTGTATCAAACTAACACTGTGAAAATGCTTGCGGTAACCCATCAAGGCTACTGGTGGATAAATTGTATGCACTTCTTTATATTTCAAATCTAGATAATAACTAATTTAGAAATTAATATATTAACATGTAATGGAAGTAAAATATATTTTTAATTGTCCTAATTTAAAATGAAATATACACAATAATCATTAAAATCATACACATTTTCTATTTATTTTATACTTTTCGATGAAAACAGCAAGATTTTATTATGTGATATACAGTGAGTGATATAGTTTGTATTTCCCTGATAAATTCAACACATGTATTTCATTAAAGTTGCATGCCTCCAGGTAAGCCAAAACATTTTAAGAAAATGAAACTTTAGAAACATTTATATTTTTAGAAAAAGTAAAAATATCCAAGAATCAAGTAATTATTTGCATGTTATACACAAATAATGATCTGATATTGCAGTATTTATCACAGTAAGGGCTATTTTTACATATTTTGACCAGTTTTTGGTTATTTACATGGATTGTAAGCACTTTTTACAATGTGTTAATTAATAGATTTGCTTATTTCACAATATTTTACTTTTGAATACATTGTCAAAATTTTCATTAAAATTTTACATAAATCTGATGGCATGCTGCTTTAATAAGCATAATATACAAAATGTGAAAATTTATTTAATTCATCTGCTTAAGACAACTGGCTGGACAATATTTGGCTAAAACATTATACACTACATTTGATTAAATCCAGTAAAATTCTGATCTTTCTGGAATGTTTTAACAATTGGTATTCTACAGTTTTCACTGTAGCCATTTTTCAATGAGATCACCTATATGTTGCCTAGCAGCAGTAAGTTGTGGAGAATCATTGTCAGCAGGCGGGTACATATTGGCACAGTGGGCGGTCCCTGTAATATAACACATAATATATCAGTTGATATTTAGATCTTTTGTCAGTTACTGAAAGCTTATCAAGCTTGTTTTTTTCCAAAAGCCTTGCAAAAGAAGGAGATACAAATATGTTGAAAAAAATCCTACAGCTCAATTTTAGTTAATTGATTTTCAACCCCCTTGAATTTGCAATGAACCATTTTACAAATTTAGTAAACTTACAATTTACACACCCTTTACTGTTAGGTGCTAACCTTCAGCTTTTTTACAACTGAACACCATTAACAACAAGAGCAATCAGTGATCACATGTGTAGCCTCATGATGGCCAATTTCATGTTGGGACAAGTTTTGTGACAGACGGACAGACAGACGGACAGTGCACAACTAGACTTGGTACTGATCATTCCTGTAAAGTTTGGATGAAATTGCACCAGTAGTTTATGAGGAGTTAAGTCCGGACAAGCTTTTGTGTATCTGGCAACACACAGAAAAAAACACCTTTTTATCAAAGGGCCATAACTCGGCCAAAAATCATTCAACCAAAAAACCCGTGCAATATGCGCAAGGACTTGAGCTACAGATCAATCCTGTAAAGTTTCATTGAAATTGCATTAGTGGTATAAGAGAAGTAGTCCGGACAAACTTTAAAAATAAAAATTATTAAAGGGCCATAACTCTGACAAAAATCATTGAACCGGAAAATGCTGACAATATGCACATTTAGACTTGGTACTGATCATTCCTGTAAAGTTTGGATGAAATTGCCCGTAGAGGCGACACAAAAATGCAGTTCTAAATTTAAAGCATGCCAATAACCAGGCAATTTAGCAATGCTATCTTATTTTTAGTGTTACTTTTAAGTCACACTTACACTCTACATATCATATCACAGCTAATACGCTTTCCTAGCAGAGGAAAAATTCAGGTGCCTCTCCATATGCTATTTAATGTACAAGCAGCACCTTAGCAAAACCAGAATAATAACCTTCCCTAAGCTAGGTGGATAGCATTCTCAATCCAAAGCATCTGTTATGAATCAAACCTAATAATGTCAGAAGAAAGTGATTTTTACTCAGAAAACCTAGTCAATTCGCAAAATAGACCCCTAAAAGTCTTGCAGCCTTATGCATACCATCAATATAAATAGCTGTCGCGTCCGGTGAGATGTCCTCTGTAACCCCCATGGCATGCCATGGGTCAATTGAACCATTTGGAAACACTACTTTTGTTACAGAAATGATACGTCCACCATAATACTGGTTAGTGTCTTTGATATTTGCATCAATGAATGTACAATCCATGCTCTTCTCAAATATGTCCATGCACTGTATACATGAAAAACTGAAATGAAAATAAGCACGAACTATACTCAATACTGAAGATAAAATATGGACTGCACGGGACCTTTTTTATTATAACATAATTAGCAACAATTCTAATGCATACAAAGTTAAAAAGAACTCTACGGAGATTTTTAACATGTTAAGATTATGGAAACAAAGTGATCCCTTGGAAGCATTATTCACAACAAAATTACATGAAAATTGCAGACTCAGTTTGATTGAGTCTGTAAATGAGGGATAATGAAAAAGTGCAACATCCCTCACGTCCCCTAGCAAGGTTGGATAAAAAAAATTTTGAGATTACTATTTGATGTAAGTCTATAACTATTGTGCAAAATTTCAGATCATTCTCACTCTATTTTCCCAGAACAATCATTTCTGTAGTGCAAAATAAGCTAAAAAGCATTAAAATGTTGGGTTTTTTTTACTCAATTTAGGCTAAGAATCACAATAAATATTGATTTTTAATTTAAATTTGAGTATATTTCATTTCAACAATTTTAAATGCCTTGGTCGATCTATGTAAGATTTACAATTTTTTGTTTTTAGCCTTTTGAACCTTAGCTGAGCATAATTAAACTAAGCTATATATTCATTAAGAAGATCTACATTTCATCAATATTTAAAACAGTTTGAAAAACTAATTTTGTTTATGGAAATATCATCACTAATCTTTTTATGAATAAAATTTTATTCAAAATGTACTATGGCAATACATTTTTTTTCTAAAATCTTACTTGACTGGGAATTCATGACTAAATGCTTGCTTCTTGCAGTCTGATGACTGGAACCAGCCAAATTCTGCACAAGTTTGATACATCCACTGTCGTCCTGAATAATGAAACACCCAAGATCGCATTATAGTTTGGTGCCAAGTCTATACAAAAGTATACTTCAAAAGTTTGGAGACTGGAACTAGCCATATGTTATATCGGAAAATAATGAATAACAAATGAATGCAGTCAAGTTAAAATATCTGACAGGATTCTCATAGATATAAAACAGTATTACTGAAATTATTGCTAAAACTTGCACAATTTTTAATTTAAAAGATAATGAACACAATGAAATACATTGTACGTGTACATTAAAATGAAAATTTGGTTACCCAAGATTGGATGGTTAAGATTACATTTCTATTACAGTAGAAAATCAAGTTTAATGGTTGGTTGGTAAGGGATTAAGCCATAACAGCACTTTAAAGGTCATATGGTAGATTCTCATCTTTACTGATAAGGAAAATCTCAGGTGCCCCTTAAACACCCTGAGTACAGACACTAACGTTCGGTAAGCTGGCTGGAAAGCTTCCTCACAAGAAAATATTCAAAGTACTTGATCAGATATAAACCTACAGTGGTAAAGGACAAGTAGTTAGAAACTGACCTTAACCACTCAGCCATTGATGGTCCTGAAATAAGATGTTTGAGACTGTTTAACATACCTCCTTCACCAGCACTGCTGTTCCAGTCCGTCTTCGTCATGTCGTCGATCATCTTATCATACTTGAAATCAAGACATGACTGTGAGTACGTTTTTAGCAACCAGGTATTTACATAGGCATATCTCTCGATGGGCGACCCTCGGGTGAAATCTGTCATTACGTCACATAACTTGTCCAGTGTGATGTCAGTTCCTATTGCACCCTGTTATGATGTCATCAAAAATTATTTGGTACATAGTTACTACATCATTGTACATTATTATGAAATTGTTCAATTTCACTGGCATTTATATATAAATTTCAATACTGTACGTTTCTTTGATTTGTGTTTTTTGTTTGCAACATTGGTTTTTCTTTGTGTTTAAACATGAAAGATTACAATTTATGGAAAATACAGATCTATCTGTACAAACTTATTATAATATATGACAAGGAAATATTTTGTGTGTTTAAATACCTTGAGGCCTCATTGATCAACTTACAACAACTTATAGAATAAAAAAATCATGCAACAAACTCTGCCCATTGATGCAAGTACAAAGTTTCTCTCATTAACATCATAGGGATCATGAATGAAACTATGTTTTACCAATAAAATTTGCCTTTAAAAGTTTCAGATACAATAATTTTTGTCTAGTTCATTTTCTTTATATACTTCCCAAATTTTTAGTTAAAACTAGGCTTATTTCCCCTGCAATTCCTCATACAGAAACTAGGTGTTGGAAGACTACGGTTAACATAGTACGTGTAAGAAAAGTTCAAATTTTTACCTCAAAGGCTCTATTATCTTTGTTATATTGTACAACACCTTCAAAATTACCAGCCAAGTTACTGAAGAAACCAGCTCTATCTAGAATATTATCAGGGTCAATTTTGTCACATAATCTGAAAAAAATATTTAAATAAGCACATGAGAACTGTCTTTCAAGTGTATTTTACTACAATGTCACCTTCAACCCTTACTAGAGCCATGACAGTGCTTACAAATGTGACACCAGTAATGTTAAGTCAAAGAAAAGGATTTTCAAAAAAATATTGCCTAAATATACTCTGTAAGCCTAAAACTTTAACAACATATGAATGGAAGTTGGTTATTTGAAAAATCCTGAAATAATACTTAAACATGCTCTCCATCTCAGCACGTTTGTCAGGTTGTCCCCACCAGGCACTCATGGTCTGTGTGGCATTCATAATCTCCTGGTTACAGCCAGGTCCAGTTGTATCTAGGGCATCAGTTACTACATCCAGATATTCTGAAAGATATATAGAGAACATAATTTTAAAGGAACTCCACTGAGGTCAAGAAAGCCTAAAAACGTTTTTAATTTTTTTTTAAATAGATGAGCTAGGGCACTTAAAACAGAAAGATATATGCAAAAAATAATTAAGAAATATTATACTTGGAAAGTAATAGAAAATCATATTTTTGTGCTTTTCTGAACCTGATTTGGGTGAAAAGCTTTGCACAGTTCTCAATTTTGGGTCATTTTACACAAAAGAATAACTATTAAAAAAAAAATAACAGATTGAGTGAATGACCTGAAATTTTGCACACAAGTTATTGGTCTAGACCTACATCAAATTGAACACTTATCTCAAAAAAGTATTTCCAGTCCTGTCAAGTCAAAAAACCTCAGTGGAATCCCTTTAAGCATTCACAAACATTTAAAGGCAAATTATGTTTTAGGATTTTCCAACATGTGTTGAATAATGTTTAAATATTATACATTTGTATTTGAAACATGTAGTTGCTCATCTTCCCAAGTTAGTAGTGCTAAAAGTAAAATGATTTGAGCTGTGTCATGACAAAACCAACATAATGGGTTTGCGACCAGCATGGATCCAGACCAGCCTGCGCATCCGCGCAGTCTGATCAGGATCCATGCTGTGGGCTTACCGACTCTCTAACAAGTAGAGAAACTGATAACGAACAGCATGGATCCTGATCAGACTGCACGGATGCGCAGGCTGGTCTGGAGCCATGCTGGTCTCAAACCCATTATGTTGGTTTTGTCATGACACGGCTCATTTGTCATTGAGGTAGCAAAAAAATGAATAAAGTTGTATTTTGACTTCCATAAAAAATACTAACTGTACTAATTGCCAAACAAGAGGGCCATGATGGCCCTGAAGTCGCTCACCTGTATATAGGCCCCCGTAGCGGGGCCAGTTTAAACCCCAGGGCTTTTATTTGAACAAACTTGGTAGACACCCATTAGAAGATGTTTCATGCTAAACATCTAAGGTCTAGCTGGTCAAGTTTTTTCTTTACACATATAGTTAAAAACAATGACACACCTGGGGCAGGGCCAGTTTGGACCCCAAGGCTTTTATTTGAACAAACTTTGTAGACACTCACTAGAAGATGCTTCGTGCTTAATATCTAAACTCTGGCTATTTGAGTTATTTCCAAGAAGAATTTTTAAGTTTTTGTTATACACATATAAGGAAAATCAATGACCCCCCGGGAGGGGCCAATTTTGACCCCAGGGCTTTTATTTGAACAAACTTGGTAGACACTCACTAGAAAATGTTTCATGCTTAGTATCTAAACTCTAGCTATTTGTTTTTTTTCAAAGAAGATTTTTTAAGTTTTTGCTATTCACATATAAGGAAAATCAATGACCCCAGGGCTCTTATTTGAACAAACTTGGTAGACATCCATTAGAACATGTTTCATGCTAAATATCTTAGCTCTAGCTCTTTGGGTTCTTTAAAAGAAGATTTTTTAAGTTTTTACTATATGCATATAGGGAAAATCAATGACCCCCTAGGGCGGTGCCAATTTTGACCCCAGGGCTCTTATTTGAACAAACTTGGTAGACACCCATTAGAAGATGTTTCATGCTAAATTTCTTAGCTCTAGCTCTTTTGGTTCTTTAAAAGAAGATTTTTTAAGTTTTTACTTTATGCATATAGGGAAAATAAATGACCCCCTGGGGCGGGGCCAATTTTGACCCCAGGGCTTATATTTGAACAAACTTGGTAGACACTCACAAGAAGATGTTTCATGCCAAACATCTAAGCTCTAGCTCTTTGGGTTTTTTAGAAGAAGGTATTTAAAGTTTTTTCTTTTGGTTGCCATGGCAACCAGATCTCTGCATGGAATTAAATTCTTTGAACAATTTTCCACCAAAGGAACATTCCTGTAAAGTTTGGATGAAATTGGCTTAGTGGTTTATGAGGAGATGTCGGACGGACGGACGCCAGACAAAAAGCGATCACAAAAGCTCACCCTGTCACAGGTGAGCTAAAAACAAAAGAAGTAAAAGAGGTTCATCTTTATGCCTATTTGAGAACACCAATAAAGTTTTTTTAGAAATGAAAACAATATCAACTTAAGGGATTAAAGACCATTCAACTGTGCCTCATTACTCAAGGACTGAGGGGTTAAAACATTCAATCCAACAAAAAAACAAATGGATGATACTTGTCTTTTTTTTTTCTTATAAATATGAGTTTATAAACTTTATAAAGTTTTAAATTATCTCCAATAGTATTAGATATGTCTTGAATCACACAACAAATTCCTATTATATAAACTTTTCCTTTATATAAGCACTTTGGGATATTTCATTTTATTTAAAATGGAAATATTTTATAAGGACATCCAAATTATACATTTCTATTGTTCTTATCAATATCTGAAACTCAATGGGCACAATTTCCAATCAGTATTTCAAATATTGAAACAAAAAAAATAGAAATGTATCATTTGGATGTCCTTATCAAATATTTCTGGGGAAAATAATGTTGATAAAATTCTAAGTGATCCTGTATAAACATTTATATGATGAATAATAAATTTTCGTTCTTCAACAATTTATTATTTGCTATATATAGATATTTAAAATCTGATAATGTATCTCCAAATCGGCCAATCACTTACCAGCAACATCCATATATTATTCATTTGGTAACTTCTTTGTTTTATTTAATATTTGATCTATATAATTAATTGATGTATACAAAATTACAAACCGACCCATAAAGTCAAGTTGAGCATAGATAGGCGCACTAGTTGCCACAGCACCGTCAACCATGTATGGATACTTTGACCTGAACCACGCTGATAATGATCCTTGCAAAATAAAATAAATAAAATCAAAATTAATTTTTTCATTACAATTACTGACTTTCACACTACACAAATGAAAAAAACAAAATCAAAACAAAAAAACTTTATATTGTCTTTTTTTCAATCTCAAAAAAAAAACATTCATAATATTTAGGGAAAATTTCAAAGACCATGATCAGATAGTAAGAGTATGGGTGTAAGGGTGGATCTTGTCTTTACTGGTTGCATGGATAGAATCAGCTGCTATAAGCAGGCTCAGAGGTAATTTACATCAATTTAACTGATAAAGCCATTAAAAACAGATTGTGCAGCTACTATAGTTAAAGTATATAAAACACTTACCTGGATAAGATCCTCCAAATGTAATGAGTTTATTATTTTTATTATTAAAGTTGTATTTTTGGCTGTATATCACCTTGAAACCATCTATGAAGTTGGCCAAATCTGCTAATGCTTGACGACTGTTAAGAAACCTCATGTTCCCTATTGATAAATCTCTGTAAACACAAAATACAACAATTTTAAATTACCCTGCTTAATGTATGTAATAAATTTGCCTAAATTTTAATTTGGTTCTGTTCTTTTTTATTTTCAACAGAGTTAAATATGAAATAATACAGCAATGCAAACAACAAAACAAATCACAAATTTATTATATAAAGAAAGCTCTCTGTCATACAATTTAAACTCATACATCAGGAAAAAAGGAAAACAATAAAAAAAAGTATGGTACTAGAGTAGACATAATTATGCAAATATCCGCCTTTTTGCATACTCCCCCCCCCCCTCCCCAAGAAAAAATTAAATGTAAGAACATGCCTTTCGACAAATAGGCCAACAAGCACCATGTATAAATTGAAAATACTTAAAGCAATAATGTCTATATTATTCTTCTGATTCACTCAATCCCCTTCAAAATAATAATTTTTTTCATTATGCTTCATTAAAAATAAATATTCCAGCGGTTGAAATGCTGTTAAAATTGGTTGCATTTTCAGCTTGTAGATTAGAATTATCCCCCTTGACCCTTGGCCAAATTGGTTGTTTTCATTGGCACATCTGTTGCCTTAGATAAAAATGAAAACCCTGTAACTTATTCATCTAGAAGGAAGTATTGCCAATATACTTGCATGCTTATAAAAGAGTTAAGAAATTCTGAGCCTATACCCTGAATCTGTTTCTTACTTTACAGGGTGACTTTCTCCATAATATCTGTGCTCTAACATAACACAAATAGCTCCAAAGGTTTGAGCATAATGAATCCAAGTTCCTTCCACCATCCATACAGGGTTGGCTGGCCCTTCACCACCAATCATAAGAAAAATTGGACCACCAGACTTGTAAAATGTGTCATTAACAAAATATCTCTGCAAAACAAAGAGATAGAGAAATCATTTTGACTTTCAAGCTTTAATTTCAGCCTTGTGTCATTTTTTTCTGGGATAACAGGTTACTGTATAATTACCCTGGAGACACATGTGGTTCCTCACATTCTTATTTTTTATTTTCATAATTAATAATTAATAACATAATTATTATTTAATATTAGTCTACCATTGTAGTGTGAAAAAAAAAAAATTGTTTTGAAAATAATAAAGGTAATTAAAACATTTATATCTGTGAAACTGCTTCAAATGTTATAAGAATTAATACTAGTAAAGGGCTATACACAGGTATGGTGATGCTTGACTTGCAAAAGGCGTTTGACACCGTAGACCATGATATTCTTAGTGGAAAGTTAGAATTAATGGGTGTTCAGTCTATTTCCTGGTTCAGATCATATCTTTCAGAACGTTCACAAATTGTTAATATAGGAAATACTTACTCTAAATCAAACAGTGTGACATGTGGCGTCCCCCAAGGTAGTATTCTAGGGCCGTTGCTTTTTCTGTGCTATGTAAATGATATGATTTTAAGTATTGATAATGATTGCAAGTTAATACTCTATGCAGATGACAGCACTATTTTATTCTCACATAAAGACCCGAATTTCATCTCAGAAAAACTTGGGACAGCCCTAGAAAGCTGTTCAGAATGGCTCGTAGACAATAAGCTGTCACTCCACCTTGGTAAAACAGAATGTATGCTATTTGGCCCCAAAAGAAAATTACAAAAGCAAGAACAATTTACTGTTACATGTAATGGTCATAGCATAAAGGGTACTAATATAGTCAAGTATCTTGGTCTTTATATCAATAGTGATTTATCTGGGGAAACTATTGTTAATAACGTTATTTCTAAAGTGAATGCCAAGCTCAAGTTTTTATATAGGCAGAGCAGACTTTTAGATACTAAAAGAAAACAGCTTTTATGTTCAGCCCTGATTCAGTGTCATTTTGACTACTCTTGTTCCTCTTGGTATGAAGGTTTATCAAAACATTTAAAAAGAAAGTTACAAATTACTCAGAATAAGGTATTAAGATTTGTCCAAAACTTACCGCCCAGAACTTCTGTAACAGTGTATGAGTTTGAAAAATTAAATTGGTTAAATGTAGAAAACAGAGTCAAACAGTTAAGACTAAATCATATGTATAAGATTTTTTACAAAAAGAGTCCATCATACCTTAGAGCCGACTTTAGATGTTGTGCTGATGCAAGATTTTACAATACTAGATCAAGCAATTTTAATTTTATTGTCCCCCAGTGTAATTCTGTGATGAAACAGACCTTTTATTATAATGGAATTAAAGACTGGAATGATCTGCCAGAATATATAAAATCCATTAATAATTTTGTGCAATACAAAAAATCTGTCAAAAAGTACCTACTAGAAAGCTATAAAAGTCTTTCAGAAGATATATATGTGTACAACTAATGTGTTAGGCACTGTGATCAAATATTTCTGTGATAGTAATACTAGGCTTATTTTAAAAAGGGCATACTTTTATAAATATATTTCCTTTTTCAACCTAAATTTTGACCAAAGTTAGTTAGTTTATATTTTTATATTTTTTTATCTTGTTTGTTTTTTAGGGGGGGAAAGGGTTAAAATTATGTTAGTTTTTTTTTTATTTCTATGGACCCCATTGGAAATAAGCATTTAGCTTAATGGGCTATCCATAGGTGCATAGTACCTCTTATTTTTTATGACAAAAGTGTGCTCTTTTATGCTGTTTTATGATCTCATTTTATATATATGATTTATTTATGTTATCTCTTAACTGTATGATTTTATATTATGTATCTTGTGCTATGTTCCTAAAATGTATAAATAAAATAAATAAAAAAAATTCAATCACTTTAACAAATAAATGACATAAATGAAAAACACATTTTTAAATTTAATTGCCATTTGTGTTCTCTTTAATTTTACTTTTTTGCTAATTAATAGAATATTTCTATTTTACCCTTTTTAGTTTTAATTCATACTGTATACCTAATTGATAACTTTACCCTCGGTATGCTAGTATTTCATAATTTACATGTAGATCTATATAAACAAATCTACTTTCAGTTTCTGTTATTAAATAAAAAAATATAAGTAGGCTTCAAATGATAGAGAAAAGTTAAAGTTACAAGAACTTGTCTGGCAATCATGCTATCTTAAGTAGGCTTTGACTAAAATAAATATGCCTGACAAAAGAAATATAAGTTTCAGAGTTTGCAATTCCTGACACGATACTGTTACATTTTCTAATAGATCAATTTACCTGACTCCATCTCTGAACGTTTGCGCCATCAAAATGGTCTAATCGTTGCGTAAACCACTGGGCAGGTGGTGTTTTTACGTCATGGGCAACTTTTGGTGCACCAAGCATCCCTCCCTTTGGTCTACCATTTATTATTCTTGGAATCCAACAATTTCCGCAAGAAAATACACATAATAGTAAATAAAAAGAAAAAGTCATGTAAGTTGCCATTTTGAATTATGAAAAATATTCACGTGCCTGTCATGTGATCACGTCCGGTGTACTTAAAAAAGCACGTGACTTTTAAATGCCGAAAAAATACATTTTACGCGGAAATAGTTTTGGCGATCTTTTTCGGTGTTTGATATAGTCAAATATTTACTTGCAAAGCGGTTTATTGGCAAAATTATATTGCAAACGCAATTCTAATCAGGAGTTAAACATTTTCAAAAACAAAACATTCATTGTTATAAGTAGGAAGTAATAAGACTACTGTATTGCCACGACCCAGTACAGTCCCATTAGCCTGTTTGTTAATTAGATAAGATGACATTTATATTTGAGTTGAAACAATTTAAACCAATGTTACCATCGGTAAATTTCAGAAGTATATGTTTTTTGTAACAAATAACCCTTGATATACAAATGATAAACGGAACAAACAGACAATCTGCGAATCGACGACAAAATTTTAAACGCACAAAATATTTCATTACAATTTTGCAAATCATATTGTATCATAAAATTTCTATGTTTGATTAGATCTATGTGGAAAAGCTACTTTATTTTTAAACGAACACTTCCTGATTTATATTAAAAAATTGACTCAAATTCAAGAAACTATTGTTCTGTCTTACGTGTCAACGTGATTCAGGCTTTTTAATATTAATGACGATGGTTATTATTTATAATATACATGTAAAACTATCATTGAAAATAAAGATAAAAACGTGATTATGTGTGCTTCGTTTTTATTGATTACTAATTTCAGTTATCAAAGGACATCAACCGATTATACTGGAAATGAAGCCATTTTCCCGTTCATACAGCAAGGTTCCGGTAAAGGACGTAACTCGTTCATTATCCGCCGAATACAGATTGTTACCTCCCCTGAATTCGTGCTTGGTCCAAACTGGAGTGCCTTCCATCGACTACCTTTTTAAAACCCTTTTTACTCCCCTTTTTCAATTTATAAATTTCGTGCTTTCTGCTACGAAAAGACAAACTGAAAAGGCCCAAAAACCAAAAATTTAATTATGAAAAGGGGGATCAAATTTTTAAAATTTCTGAATTTTTCTTATAGGGGTTCAAACCCCTTCATGTTCCAAACTCTTATGAAGCGGGAAATTTAAATCTCTCACAAGGGAAAAAAAAAGAGAAAAAATATGGTTTTGTAAGGGGAACATTTTCAATTTAAATTTTACAAACCTTTGCCTGCTGTTGTGTATTTTTTTTTTATTTTTTGGAAAAGGGGGAAAATTCCCCTAAAAAATTTTAAAAAGGAAAGGATTGCCCATCAAAACCCCATTCACATCTTTAACCCATATGTTAAAAATTTCATAAGTTTATAATATAATAATCAGGTGTAATTTGACTTTTGACTTCGTTTCTTATTTTAAAGAAATAAGTAATGAACTCAGCAATTTGAAACTTCTTTGTTTATACAATGTTTGCCCTCCGTGACTTGTTTAGCGGTTAAGATCGCGATTTTTTCGTCTTAACTTCTTCATGCGAGGAAGTTTTCTGCTATCTTACGACACAGTTGTTTGAATGAATTTAATGTATTTTTATTTTTCTATATGACACATGTTGCCATAGCAATTGCCACACACACATATCAGATTACCTGATGCACCCCGCCCACAACTAATCTTGTGAACACATCATACTGTGACAAGTGCACGTTGGGTAGTAGTTTAGCCCCGACTGAGTACGAGAAAAGATAGACACCCGACACTGGCGCCGTGAACTTCCCTGATGACACGTTGTACCCGTTCCCGTCATTTAGAATTTCCTGGGAGAGGAAAACCCCGTCAAGGCCCAATTATTTTGTATTTCACATGCCCTGAGAAAAAATTTTCCCTTTCCCTCAAATTAAAATACATATATATAACCAAAAGGGAAAAATTTAAATTCCCCCGGTTGACCCATAGTCATTTAAATATAATTCTAAAATTTCCCCCTTTCACAAATTTTTACCGGGAACCCTAGATGGGCAAAAATTTCTGGAGTGAAGGCAAAAATCTAAAAATTTACTGTAATTAAAAGGGGTTAAAAAATTTTGGTTTGGTATTTTTTATATTACGCCAAAAAATGATAAATTTCCCCTTTCCCATGACCTGTTTATTTAAAATAATTTGCCCAGGAACTCCTTTCGGGCCCTTTTCAAACCTAATAACACGTACTTTTAAAAATAAAAATCCGACTTTTACAAATCCTAAAAAATTCCCAAAATCCTATTTTGTTGGTTTTTTACCCCCTAAAATTAAAAAAGGGTTTTAAAATCTTTAAATTTGTAAATTTTGGTGGTTAAAAAGTCCTAATTAGGACAAAGGTCAGTGAAAAGGTTTGTCTGTCTGAATAAATTGAGCAGTTGGTAGGTTTTTTGTGATATATTTTTCATTCAAATTCAGGAGTTAATGTACCCCTTTATATCAAAAATTCCCCGAACTCGTTGTTTTTTTTCCCCCTTTGAATTACAGCCCCCATCCCTTAGGCCAATGACACAAAAGATACGTTTTAATTTTTAATTTTTTTTAAAGAACCCCAAACAAAATTGTATTTTTAATTTAAAACATTTGTGTCAAAAATATATATGTGCCACCCCTTTCCAAAAATTTTTGGTGGAAAAATTGCACGGCCTTTTTGGAAATAACACGGAAAGGTCCCATACTTGCTTTCCATAGCCCATTTATAATCTGCAAACCCTAAAATTTTCATCTGAAAACCTAAATAAAAGTTAAAAAAGTTTTTTATGGAAACTAATTTTAAAACACCCATCTTAAACAATATTGAATCCAAATTTTCCCTTTTCCCTTTTAAATTTATTAAAAACTGGAAAATGGGAAAATCCTTGGAAACCAAAAGAAAAACCCGGAACCGTCTTTAGACCGTTCCCTTAAACGGGCTAGTTAACTTTTCAAAAACTTAACCCCATGAAATTTAATTTGGTTTTCCCCCAAGGACCAGAAAAAATTAAGAATTACCTTGTTATAAATGACAGGTCTATCTTGTGTCAGATTGTGAACACCGTGGTCAAGATAAGCTGTAAACGCAATGGTTTCATAATAAGGGATTCTCCTTCTTGCCATTCCGTTAACTTGATTTTTCTCGTGATTTGCAAGTCTTCGTTCCAGTTTGTTTATTTTCCTATCCTTTTCTGCATTTTCCGTTTTAAGGCATCTTATATCGTCTCTTAATTTAACATTTCCTTCTTTCATCTGCTCTAGTTCCTCTAGTACGACTCGTTTAAAACGATCAAATTCATCTTTTCTTACATAAACGTCTGCTTCTGTATTTATTTCCCCATACTCATTACTTAATCCAAATTCAATTTTTAAGGCCGATAAAATCAAAATGAAATGTAATTTTGGAAACATTATTTGTCTTTTTATCTGTTTTACACAAGTACACAAGTTCTAAAGATAAGACAATATTATATACATGCAGCGACATAGTTTATTTTACTCAAATGGAAGTATGAGATAAGCGCCATTTTCCCTTGAAAGCAAACGGCAGTATAAAAACAGGCCCAAACTTCTGGAGCCACATCGGCCTCTCGGAACATGCGAACAGTGTGGCATCGCCCAACGTTGGCTACACAGTTCAAATATTTTCACCTACTTAGAAATTACGTCATGTACTTTAAAGCTGCATGCCTCCAGATGACCCAAAATATTTCAAGAAAATTAAACTTTGAAAAACCATACTAAAACTTTGAGAAAAGTAAACAAATTAAAGATTCAAGTGATAATTTATATCTTATGTGCAATTAATGACTGTATTTTGTAGTATTTATCACCATATTTCTACTGCGTTACTAACGCAGTAGGGGCTATTTATGCATATTTTGACCTCTTTTTGGTAATTTACGTGGATTTTAAGTGCCGATTGTAATGTGTCAAGTACTTTCTTTGTTCATTTCACAATATTTTACCTTTAAATACATTTTCAAAATTTTCATGAAAATTAGGATGAATCTGGAGGCGTGCTGCTTTAATGGGTTGTTCCAAATTCAAAGCATGGCAACATTGAACAAGGCAAAGGTACGTTAAGAGCCAACATAAGAAATATGCATATAAAACATGCATTGCAAACAGAGTACTAGAAAGCATAATTAAACTATCTTAAAATTGTTTCTTGGCCAAGTTTTACATGTACTGTCCAGCTTAGTAAATTTTATACAAGTAAAAGTACCATACATTTTGTACATTGTTTATGTTTTGCTCACAAATTATTTCAACACTGTATTTTTCGTGTGATAAGCATACTTTAGATCCATTTTTAAAAAAGTTTGCCTTTTTTCTTCAGAGGATACTAAGTACATTGTTTTCTTTCACGATGTTCAATGTCAAAAGTTACCCTAGAATTATGACTGCAGGTCTACACATATATACAATTTCCCCAGTAAATACTTTACCTGAAAGTTTGTCAGTACTTCTGCAAGGACATGGCATTTTACTATTGTAAAATAAGTCGTTTTGTTCACGTTATTTAGAACATTAAATTCCTTGCGAGATTCTGAAGCTTTGTTATTTAGTATTCTGCTAGGCGACTGGAAGAGAGATCGTCGGTGACTTCGGGTATCTTTTAAGTTAAGTTAAAATTTCGAGATAATTGTCATGTAATATTGCACGATTCCGGTAATGCAGTAAGTTAAATTAGCGTTTAAATGCAATTATTTAAATGCCGTTATATGTCTTCAAACTGTGTTGGCGTCAAAAGGTACATATAAGTGTCTGTTGACGGTTTAGAATAATGCGTTCAACACAGAAAGGACGGGGGATGCTCGTGCTGGCGGCAAACTGAAACCTTATGGACCATTATGCTTATTTTTTTGGCACATAAAATGTATGACGGGCCACATACACTCCATGCCAGAAATGCTTAAAACTCCAGTTTACAGAATCAAGAAAAACAAAGTACGGTAAGAACATTGCATGCACATTTTATGTTCTCAACAATAAAAGACAGAATAACGTGAAATTTATGAAACTAGAGGTCATCGCGAAAATATATGACACGTTTTGTCGTCTGCATGTACGCCTCACGCGTATCTGCAGGAAAAGCAAAATCGTTCACTTTGTCCTTCAAACAGTAAAGATTTTATAATAATAGTCTTTTTGCATATATCTTACAAGTATATAACTGAGCGATACCTATGTAAAGTGGCCTACAAATTGCTTTGGGAGTTGTCTCTACGTGTCAACTGGGCAGTCACTAAATATGAAAGTGGCATTGTTGACGAATGTGAGCGTGTCATAAAATTGACTAGTAGTCTTGAAAAAAAAAAGTATGCTATTTTTTGTTGCCAACGCGTCTTCGAGTTTTGTTCTACCGTCCATTTTCTGGACAACTTCCTTGAATGGAATTGTCTAATTGCTTGTAGCATTTATATGCAAGATGTTCTTTCAGTCTGTACTAGCTCTAACCAGTTATTCCTCGATGCATTACCAACAATCGAATCATTCATTCCACACAGGTAATATGAACAACTAAGCCTTTACAGGCTAAACAGGCTGTATACGTACATTGGCTAACAAAACTCAAATTTTCATTCCGATATCCCAAAATATGATAATGGACTGTTCCAAAATGGAAATTGGACAATCCCATTTAAGAATTTCTGCAGATTATGGGTTAAAAATATTGTCTTTTACCAAAAGGTAATCACGGTTAGCAATCTTATGCCAAAAGATCGAATGACTGTCGATTTGGAAATCAAGACCTTATAAATATGACCCAGTCATCTAAAATTATTTATAGACTCCAAAACCATGTCCTTCAGGATGTGGGTTCAACCTGCCAAGATGCCATCTTTTATGTGAGGAAGCTCTCCAGCTAGCTTATGGAATGTTGGTGTTTATACTGGAGTGACCGTTCTTGTCTGAAATAATGCACAGGAGGGGACCCCAAGGTCTTCGTCCATCTTAGTAATTGATAGTCATATGACCTTCATTGTGTTGGTGTGATGTAAAACCGACCAAAAAAAGTAATAATTAAAACAAGAATTACACACAAATAAGATACCTTTTAACATTTATTAATAAATACAAGTTTATAATAACATCATTTGTGATAATGATGGTTTGACATTTACACAGGTTTCCTCTATGTTTGAGGTTCACCATTCCGGGTATTCATAAATATACCTTAAACTATCTGAACACTGAGATTGAAAACTATAAACTTTTATCAATTTTATAAAAAGAATTAAAAATAAAACAGAAATTGTTGACATAAAATAAAATATTTGGTGAAAACATACTTCAAGGAAGTTTACAAACTCATCTAAACAATTAAATTTCATTGACATAAAGTAACATAATTTTCCTACACAAAGTAAACAAAACCGGACAATTTAGATTTTCATGTATATTAAGCGATTTTAAGCTCCATTAAGATATGTGCACAAATTCTGATGTGAAAAATTGGGACAGATTTAATTACTTACAAATATACACCATTTTCTTTTCTATGAGATAAAATTGTTTAATTAGAATTCTATCAATGATGTTTTATATCACCCAAAATAAATTAACCAATTAAAACTGTCTGAGTCATTTCATTAAAAGTAAACTAATATAGTCAGAAATCACCAATATAGATGGTCTTAGTCTGAACATCAAAGTACTTCGAAAATATTGATACTTTTGACTGCTTGACTGTCAGAAAAATACCTTAAACTACGAGCCGACTGTTTTAAATTGAAAACGAGGAAATGCTTAATATGTAGTAAGAACTACATGTAATGTATTCACAGTAAGTGTTTAAATATGGCTTTCAAGCACCAACATTTAGTACAGATTATTTCATTGATAACAAAAAAAACAATAAGTACACTGTATAATACAATTACACAGACATCAAATTCAACAAACAGATAGATGAACACAAGTGAATTGAGTGACGAATGGTACATTGAAATATTCAATTTTGCTGTTGATTAACAATATGGTGTGGTATTACTGTACCCTATAGCAGGTAATATAAAGTGGTCAGGGCTTTTTTTCACAAGTTGGGGAAGCAGCCCAGCCCTTAATTTTGGGGGAAAATTACATGGTATATTTGCAAAAGGGGAAGAAAAAACTTGATGTAAATTCAATATTTGGGGAAAACTGCATGATTTTAAAGAAATTTTCTTTGGGGAAGCAGCCCTATACCGGCCCCTGTAATAGAGGGTAAAAAGGCCCTGGTGGTACATCTTAATTTGAAAACTTGGCAATTTGTGATACATGTATGTAGCCCCATGGAACTTATGGGTGAAATTTTCACATTTTTTCTCTGTGTTTTAATGAAAAATAAAAAAATGTGTTATTTCTTACTTTCTACACTTGATAAAAATGCCTTAATACAATTTGCGACAAAATTAAACTAGAATATTGCTGACATCAATTTTGCTTGATAATGCCACTTTAACACAGCTAAATTCTTGCCAAACTATGGTGGAGAAAAGCATTTTCATTGTACTTTTAACTTCAATGATCATAAATCCATGAATATGTTCAAGCAAGGTATTTATATACAAAATATCAAAGATATCGGCCAATATAATGATTTATGAGGAAATGTATAAAAATTGCTATAAACTTAGTGACCTTGACCGCATCAAACTAAAACCATAGGTTTAACATGCGACTGTACATTTCCCCTGAAAACAGCAATAAAACTCATGTTTCTCCTTTAGGTATACAATGTTTTAATGATTAGATTATCACAACTACCTTTATTATCATTTTTCTCCTGTGATTTTAGCATACTACATGTATTTCTATTTATATATGCAGTCATCAAGCTATTACCCCATATTTCAAGCAAATAATGACAATATACCATATTCTGACACCATGTGACATATGACACTAGCTTTATATGACATTTTGAAACTGCCATAAGATATTCAAACGTCTAAATGACGTAACAAAATTCTGTTTAATGAATGAGAGAATTGCTTAAAAATGTGCTGAGTTGTTTGTCCGATGTTCTCTTAAGTTTCTGCGTGCAAAGATGAATACAATAATATCCATAGTACCTGAAAATAGAAACAAAACAATAATCAAATATGATGTTAACACATACTAGTTACAGTATATGAAACGAGTTAGTTACGAGGATATAACACTGGCTGGGGCAACATCAAGGGATGTTTCTGCTAAAAAAATTTTGAGGCCGTAAGGAAAATATCACTATGTAATCGAGTTAAAATTACATTTATTATATATAAAAACAAGCCAGCAGTATCATTTAGCAGACATTACAACTTTTAGTGGACATTACATTAAATTTATCCTTTATACTTCTATAGAAGTAGTTGCAGTCAACTACACACTTACACCAGAATCAGTATTCATACTTGTATCTATTTTGATGATCATGCCCATAACATAATGAGTCAAGAAGATCCATTATATTCCACAACTAAATAGCAATAAACATGTAGCAGGCAAAGACCGGACTTGTCCATAAAAAATGGATTATAAAAAATGGATTATTCACACTTACTACAAAAGATGAAAACGAAGTCATTAATCCTTCTTTTAATATTTCTGACACTCCTCCATATTCTTCTTCATCAACTTTTTGGTAGCTTGTGAAATAAATATATGTAATGACAATGTTCACAGCAAAAAACCTGAAATTAAAACAATTTAATATTCAGCATAAATATATAATATAGAATTTTATGGCATTTGGTTTGATTATTAAATATATGCTACATGTAGTTGGTCAACAGCAATTATTATCCAGCAAGTTGATGTCAAAGCTTTAACACATTTGTTATTTGTTGACCATTTAATTATTTTAACAATTTTTCAACTTCATCTAAGCACATCAAATGCTTGACTTTAAAAGATTTCATAAAACTGAAATACATAATTTAAACAGATTTTAATGTTGATATTGTGTTTATTACCCTTAAAGTGTTTTAATATTGCAATAAAGTCAGAAAAAGTTTGAAAATTAGTTCATGATAATAAATTATTAAAAGATCTTACAATATGTCTAACCTTCATATGAGACAAGATAAATTTAAATAGACACAAAGTTATACTTACAATGCAAGACCAACAATTCCCTTCAATGGAAGCAAACCCCATATAAGACCTAACAAGATACCAAGAATTTGCCTCATCCAGTATATCACATCCAAAAACTCATCCTTAAACCAAATAAGTACAGTTAGTTTATGTTAGTCTTCCAAATAATGTTACATAGACTACAAGTTGCTTCACAAGTCAGGAAAGTGATGAGTTACATGTATTAATGATAAATCTGCAGGAAAACAAAGTTGAAACTTAGTTGTTGAAGCATATATATGAAGATTCAACATACATTCATAATTAATGCAGGGTAAATTGTGAACAGAGCTGTCCTTAGCACAGCTGAAAATCAGAGCTATTGACTTGTTTTTCAAGTGTTTGATATCTTAAAAAATCTTGTAAAGGACCCGCCCCAATTTCATTGTTGAAACTTAATTTCGGCATAAGCAAAGTCCAACTAATTGTACAACATGATAAGATATAGTGCTATTTGGTGTATGGGCAATACCTCCCTTCTGTGCAGAAACAAGATTCTACCCAGAACAAAAATATATCAGAATCTACACATGTAGCTTTGGCATGTCAATATACATTTTGTATTTGACTAGGCATTACAACAGCCTTGCAAGGACAGACAAATATTGCATGACTGCCCTTTCCGATGAGATGATAAGAATATCAAGATCTTCTCAAGACATTAAATCATTTAGACTAGTCCCTGACTCACAGACTGTGTCAGTCAATGTGTATGGAATTTTTTGGCAAATGTGTTTGTCAGTGTGAGTGTTTGTATTACAAGACTATGTAAAATATATTAAGAATTTCAAGTTGATTTCGGTAAAATGAAAGTACTATGTTAATTGTTGTCTATGTTAATTACGTATATTTGCATAAATACCTTATCTGTCCATTTGGCTTCAGATGTGAATGCCCTAGACAGCGTCTCTGAAAATGTAGGTGGTGGAGGGTCACCACTCTTTTCCTGATTGCGTTTTCTGACTGAATTAGACATAATTGGTGACTTATTAATTAGTTCTATAGTATATTCAATATCTACAATGTATTTTGCCGTAAAAAGCAATAAAACTTTTAAAAATGTGCGATAAAATAAACACGATGACAGTTGCAGGATGCCGGATAATGCATGAGGACATCCGCATGTACGACGAAATCTTGTTTCTTCACTGAAGAGCTAAGACGATTTTGCAGAATAAAAACAATGAATTTGTATTAGTAAAGAAGATAAGCAACAAATTGGAAGCAAATTCTGGTTGCAAGAATAGTTATTTGCAAGTTTCATCAACAGTCAGATACTGAAGTAAGTGTTTTGTGATATTTATTAAATTTACCATGTAACAGTATTCGGATATTAAAAATTTCGGATAAAATTCAATGATCTGTCATGGTGCTCTCATTTAACATTAGAATTGAAAATATGATTGTACACTTATATATAAATGTATTGAAGATGTACTAAAAGAATTAATCTCTAATAATAATTGTAGAATTTTGGTCTTTCAAATGAATTTTACTTATAATACTAGTGTTTAAAAAACAAATGTTTATTAAACATTTCTGACATTTGTAACACAATTTGATAATGACATACAATGTACATGCTATATTGTCCAGTTCAATCAGAATTGTCCCACAAATGTGGTGAATTTCAGAAATGGGTCCTGGAGAATAAATTTATTCCAGTTGGTGGAAGAAATATAATTGAAGGGGAGCGGTGGCCTAGTGGTTAAGGTGTCAGCTAATCGGGTCATGACCATAATTTTTTATATGACACCAGTACTGGTTGGTTATAGCAAACAGACTCTAAAGTGATTAATATAAGTTGCAAGAACTTGTTTTGCAATCAATATTCAAACTAAACTAAATAATATGAAATTAGGTGCTACCTATGGCGCGGAAAGTTCTTATGAGTTATGATTTTAGCATAACGATGTTTAGTGTACATGTAAACCAGATCTTTCTTGCAGGTATTTTGTACCATAAACAAAACAAATAAATTGATGGTTTCAACCTATCATCAGAGCGCTCGGAATATTCTAAAAAACTCCGAACGTAAAGGGGGACCACTGCGCATGCGTCTGCGTTTGGAAAATCCTGTCCGCCATTTTTGTTAATCTCTAATCAGAGTTGTTGTTTTAACGTTATTTTTAATAAACACGATGACAGTTGCAGGATGCCGGATAATGCATGAGGACATCCGCATGTACGACAAAATCTTGTTTCTTCTCTGAAGAGCTAAGACGATTTTGCCTTCGGCCCCGCTCGGACTTTCGGCATATTAATTTGAAATAACCATAAACCTTATCAGCTTATTTGCATGCAGTGACAACTATATAAAATGAACTATAACTATTTTAAATGCCAACTTATTTGCAAGTAAATATTTTTGATATTCTAGAATACTGTTATTTAAAAAAAAATAGTCGCAAGACATTAAACTACGTACTACACAGTAATACACACTTATATTCTTGTCTTCAAATAAAAGCCCTGTGGTCAAAATTGGCCCGTCCCAGGGATCATTGATTTTCCTTATATGTATATAGTAAAAACCAAAAAAAATCTTCTTATAAAAATCTGAAAGAGCAAGGGCTTAGATATTTAGCATGAAACATCTTGTAGTGGGTGTCTACCAAGTGTTTATCTGTTTTACTATTTATGCTTTAGCACAAAACATTGTCTAGTGGACCTCTACCAATTTTGTTCAAATTGTAGCCCTAGGATAAAAATTGGCTCCATCCCAGGGGTCACTTAGTTTACATATACTTATATAGGAAAATACATTTATAAGTCTTCTTTTGCAAAATAAATTGTCCAGAGTTAAGATATTTGGCATGTGGATCCTCTACTTAAGTTATGTAATTGATGAACCTTCAATGGATAGAAAATGGTCCTCTGTGGTCACTCATTTTACTCAGGCTTATATTAATGTATGCAGTATTAATATTCAGGTGAGCCATATAAGGGTCATCATGGCCCTCTTGTTTTGTTTACATTTTAAGAACTTTTTCAATCTTTGTTAACTCCAAAGATGATTAATACCGATTATGATTAATTTGAGTTGAAAAGAGGAAATCTAGATATGGATAAAACAGTTAATTTTATGCTAGTTAGTAGTTACAATACTATATCTTAAAATTTTCAAACAACAATAAGTTTTTTTTTTCAGAAATGGGGGAAAAATATATACTTTTTGGATAAAGAAATGGTGCCAAATTTAGTCCTAGGCTAATTTGGCCATAAAAAACACTGAAATAAACATCTGAAACTGCTCAGCTGCATTGGATGGTTCAACATTAGGAAGTGTATGTGGGGGAAAGCCAATCCTGTGTTACAATGTGTTTTTTTGGGAGTAGGGTGGGGGGAGATGTACTTCTGTCTGATCTGTCTGTGGTTGCTGTATCTTACCTGTTATACCAAGGGTTGCTCTAGTTTGGTTAACAGGAAAGGATTGCTTTCAATGGGTATAGCAACCAATCCAATTGTGATTTTGCACATGAATATGACCAATAATCAATGCATCATTAAAGCTACATGCCTCCAGATGAGTCAAAATAATTCAATAAAATCAAACTTGAGAAAAATGTACTGAGATGTGAGGAAAAGGAAAAAGTTTCAAGATTCAGTTAATATTTTACATATTACATGCGATTAATGACTGATTTTGCAGGATTTACAACCATATGGGTATTTAAGCATATTTTGACCACTTTTTGGTAATTTACATGGTTTGTAAGTGCCATTTATAATTATGTGTAAATTGATTCCTTTTGGTTTCTTCACAATATTACAAATTCAAAAACATTTTCAAAATGTTCATGAAAATTAGCATTAATCTGCTGGTGTGCTGCTTTAAAGGTATCATAGGTTTACATACAGATGCATATGACATAGGAACTAGAGTATTACTATAACAGTAGATATGTGATGATAGTCTGACTTGATCCCTCAAGCTGCCTTTTATCAATTTTATCAGTAAGGGCTTTGGTATGGGGTGTTAGTTTCTGCAACAGATCTATGGACTTCTTACTTACATATGAAAGATTAGCTGTGACATCTCTTTGACTTTTGTAATACTGTGTTAAAGCAGCATAATCTATTATAGGTCTTAAGATAAATTTGATAACATTCCTAACTCTCAAGGTTTAAATCTGATAATGGCCAATTCGGCATTCTCTCTATTATAACATGGTTTTAGGTTTGAGAAAGGCTTACTATTTGCTGCTTTTCAAGGAATGGCACGAAAGTGTCACATGGAAGGTTCAATGAATACCGCCTTATGAATGTATCTGCAGATGTTTCTGAATTAAAAATTTCAGCATTTTCGTGTTTTGAATGTTGAATTCTTCTTAAGTCGGTGCTAAGGGGCGTGGACGGTAACTTGCACTTTCCAGTACCGTCCATGAACAGGCTCAATCAAACCAAGCTTGCAACTTTTTTTTATTTTGTTGCTTTGAGTGCTCTTTAGGGATTCCATTTTACTCTATTTTATTGTTGAATTAAAATTTTGATAGGCAACTTGTGTTGCTTTTTAGGCTTTCTTGGATTTTCATGTTGCAGCAAGAAGCCATAACTTAGTAAAAGTATGTGTAAAGTATTATATGTGTAATAACATAGAGATGAATTGTTAATTTTATACTGTAGCTCAAGTAGTCTCATTATGGTGGAGTTTTAATAGTCATGTATTGATAAGTGGTGTTATTATTGACCAGTGAAATGAGTTAAACACCTGTAGAACATATTGGAAATCAAGAAATAAATAAATTACTGCTAGTGGTGTCTTTAAAAGAATGACATTGTGCAGATTTAAATAACATTTAACATCTATAAATGTTATCTCAAACTTGTCAATAGTGGGATTTTCCTATTTAATTTGGGGGTTATGCATTTTTTTTAAAACCTTAATAACTTGAAGGTACAATACTATAATCACATTAGAAAATAAATGTTGCTTTTGATTTTGATATGTCTACCAAGTTGTAGCTGTAAAAGTTTATTTATTACCAAGTATAAATTTGGAAAACCCCAAATATTCTTAATTTCTGTGTATTTGTATTATTAAAAATGTATTTTAACTAACATAATGCAGGTAAGTGATCATGGCCATTTTCAACTTTCTTGTGAATTTATCTTCTATCTTTACTGTTATGTGGTTAGTTCCGGTGTTAGCCAGATAAAACCTGTAATCTCTAGTTATACCTACCCTCATTAGTGATATCTAAACATCCTAATCATTGTTTCTGAACTTTCATGTAAATTGTGTGTGACCTTGATTTTGAAAGAAATAAAATGCTTTCTGATGTTGTTTATCTTCATTTCTTGTCTATCTGCATTTATCTGTATCTCTTGTCTGTCTGTATTTCTTGTCTATCTGCATTTTTTGGGCAAGAAACAATTTTTTTTTCATATTTCTTTTTTTTTTGATGTTATTGAGATTTTCTTATACTTAACATTGGTTTGAAACAATCAGTTATAATTAAATTATACATGAACCAGTGTTAGCGATTTTCCCTAACTTTACTGAGTACCTGGGACTCAGTGCTAATAGATCTGTTACGTCCCAATTCAAATGGAACGAGTCCTCAATTACAAAAATGTCAATGTTTGCATAACTTCATAATACAATCAAATTTGAGACTGTTGATGTTCGCGGATACCATTGATAGGTTGGCCCAAAACGAGGCCGAGCACTTGCTCCTTGTCTACGTTTGGGATATAAATCTGCATTGCTAATAAGAAAGGAACAAATGAAAATGAGGTGAAAGTCAAGTTCTTATAATACAATTTATTTAAAGTGAATAGAAAATCATTTTCAAGCAGAGCAAAAAAACTTAAGAGAGAATTGACCAATTATCGGGGAAAAAGTGTTTCGTCCCAGGGACTCAACAGCCCTTTTTTTCTTTCCTCCCTGGCAATTTTAGCGAGTAAATTGATATGTTTACTCAGTAAACGCGAACACTGATCATGAACTATGTATACAGTCTTCAAGCAACACACAGAATGTAGCTGCCAGGTTCATGATAAAGGGTATAAAGCTATATGTAATGCATTATTTTTTATGCCCCTGTCATCCCTCTGTCTGTCTGTTTGTCTGTCTGTCTGTCTGTCTGCCTGAAGGAACATACCTAAGGTGGTCCTTTGAAATTGGGTGGAGTTTGGGGGTCACTGGGTTCAAGGTCAAAGTCATGTATGTATATTTGATAAATTTTCAACTTCATCACAAGTCAAACAATGACATTCACAATTACAAAACGCCATGACTCTGTCAAGTTACGTGTATATAAGTGAGTTATCATATTT